CATTTCTGAACTTATAAACCGCACCCGAAACTTGCCACAAAATGAAAAAACATAATCAAGGGCTCGATGATAAGCATAAATGAACGGATGGAAAAATGCTTTGAAAGTTATAGAGAAATCGCAATACCTTCGTAACCCCCCAGAACCGGATCTTCTGATAGCAGCAGAGGCGTGTCTAGGTCAACAAACCTGTACAGAATGCAAACACTTACTGATGGATGTGGAAATAGAAAGCGAAAGAATTTCAGGAAACTAACAAAACCAGCAGGAAATGCAAACAATTTTATCTTTTATGGAAAGGAAAATGATATTTACTTAAAGCACCCCATGCCAGCAGCAAGATGGCCAGCAAAACCCATGGCCAGTCTAGTCTCGACCATACCACCAATCATCAGATCCAATCCCGCTGCCTTTGCTACCTCGATGATTTCAAGGGCTCGAACAACCCCAACTTTAGCAAGTTTAATGTTAATTACATCAGCAAGATTTTCTTCCACTATTTTCTTAACATCAGCTAAACTTCGACAGCTCTCATCAGCTGCAACTGATACTCCATATTTGTCTTTCGCAACGTGGTAAACATTTCCAAGGCCTTTCCAATCATCTCTATGAACTGGTTGTTCGAAGAGAAGAGGACTCACTCCCACCTCTGGAAGTAAAAAAACAAGAAAATATTTGAGAAACTCATTTATAGGGTTTTACATGAGTTTTTTCGACTTTTCTAAGGGGAATCAATATTCTGTTTGCAGACACACATGCTAATAATAGTAACTTCACTTCTCTGCATCATTTACCATGTAATTTTTCAAGAACTTGGATAGCTTCATCGGAGTTATATCCTTCGTTAGCATCCAAGATAAAATAGCAATCAGGGTGAACATCACGTATAGCTTGAAGGACTTCTATGTCTGAATTCAAATTCTTTCCCACCTTAAGCTTTAAAGTCTTAAATCCTTGTTCACGGTACTTTGAAGCTAATTTAGCAGCTTCAGCTGCAGAAACAATCGGAATCTGCACATATAAAGTTCAGTCCACATGTCACTGTATAAAGCAAATTTTAACTGCCAGAGTTACTAGAAGAAGAGCTTAACTGTTATATCAGTAGTTATTGTGTTTGAAGCTCCACCAAATAGTCTCCACAAAGGGACACCAATACTCATAGAAACTGCATCGATAATTGCCATCTCAACTCCTGCCCTAACCTTGAATTGGAATACCAATATATAAGATTTTGAAAACCCTTAATAATGCTATACATAAAGACATCAAATTGACAAACAAGTGGTGCGGCTGATTTTCATCAATAATTGCATATGATTCATGTGATCAGGATCGAAAATCCAAACATTATGCTTGACTTGAGAAAACCAAGTTTTTTACAAAGCCTAAACTTGCTCACGCTAATCACACTCAACTCAGTTAAGCCTAAATGTTACAAGTTGGGGTGCAAAATGTGAACTTTCCACGGAAAAACCATCACTCTAACACTACTCCCATTTCCTCTATTCTTTTCCCCACATTTTCTCAGCAAGCAAACAAAAGATAAGATCTTTATACCCAAATTCCAACTAAATTCAACACAAAAATTGTTCAATTCACAAAACCACCACATCCAATCAAAATACAACACTCAAACACCAAAACCAACAAATAAACCCTTCACTCTAACAACTACTCTCACTTCCACTTCTATTTTTTCCTACATTTTCTCAGCAAACAAACAAAGATAAGATTTTCGCATCCCAATACCAACTAAATTCAATACCAAAGTTGTTCATTTCTCAAACACCAAAACAAACAAATAAACACATAAAAAAGTGTAGAACTTTCCCTACAAGGACATCAAACTGCCACATGAATTCTGCTGGTTTACAACAAAAACTGCATAAGATTCGTGTGATCACGATCGAAAAGCCAATCAAAAAGCTGACTTAAGCAAACGAAATTTTGTACAAAGTCAATAAAAAAGACAGTTGTCTAAGCAAAGGAAAAACTTGCTCCCACTAGGCACACTCAACTCAGTTAAGGACTTTCCCGGGAAAACCATTCACTCTAACAACTACTCTCACTTCCTCTATACATTTTCCCTACATTTTCTCAGCAAACAAACAAAAGATAAGATGTCTAGTATAACCAAATTCCAGCTAAATTTAACTGCAAATTTATCCAATATCACAGTAAAAAAAGTAAAAACCCAATCATGTAAGCGTTAAAAAGTAATCTTTCCACTCATATACTCACAGAAGCAAATTCATATCCAGGAAGAATCCCACCAATCTCCCCCAAAACCGAACCCAACGTCATCGCCGGACTGCGACGCAAGAACTCACAGGCCTCCTTAGCCTTAACCATGGCTGTCTGCTGATCCTCTGCAGTCACAAAGGGCAAGATCGGAGTTTCACCCCACCCCGCGCACCCGTTACTCAACTCAACCCGCACGGCCACATTCTCCACCCTCTCCAGCCGCGAAGTCGCAATCGTGAACGGTGCAGTCAGCGGCACGTTCAGCGGCCGGTTCTCTGCTCTCTGCACGTTCACCGTGAAGGTTTCCAGCAGGTTGTAGAACCCAAAAGTGGTGGGGGTGACCAGAGCCATTTTTGGGGTGAATCTCGAAAAAGGTTTGGGTTTTTTTGGGCTTTTGAGTGGAAGGAGGAGCGGAGCAGAGGAGCAGAGAGTTGGTAGGTGAGTGGAGAGAAAACCCAATTGATCCCGTTCGATAGGGACTCGTGGTGTTTGCTCTTTAGCCACGGATTATTGGTTCACGGACTTCTGGAGGGCTTTGATTGGTTTGTGAGGAGGATCTGCATAGCTGCTTGAAATTGTTCTTGTTGTTGCACGGAGCTTCGGCAGACCAGAATACTGAATACGACTGGTAGCAATTTTTTAATTCAAATTTTGATTTTTTTTAAATTTTTTTATGTTTCGATTATTAATTATTTGAAGTGCTCTTTGTAGTTTGTCCTTGTGTCTTTCTGTGCTGACTGTGAAGTGGTGGTCCTGGTGGATGCATCTGTGTTTACTCGGGATTTCTTCGTTGCGGTAAATTAGTGTTATATAAGTTATTTTTCTTAGTAAAATATTATGAGCGGTTCAATTTGTTTTTAGATTTTTATTGAAAATTTTATAAAAGTTAGGATCCAACTATTTAAACACCTATAATTTTTCATACTCCAGAAAATCCTAGAATTTTATATGTTTTATCTTTTTGTATTTATCACAAAAATCATTGATTCTATTTGGATATCTGTCAATACCTAACGGTCTAAAATTCTCTCCTCTTCTTTTTTCATTTCCTTTTTTCATATTTTTTATTTTATCTTTCTCTTTTTATAAAAAAAAATAATATAAGATATTGACGTAACTTAACCTTAACTATTCAAATAAGAATAATAAAAAACAAAGAGAAATAAAGGAGAAAAAAAAGAGAAAAAAAATCCTACTCCATGTCCCACTCCTGGTCGAAGAAGATGAGTTAGTTTTTTTACTTGCCCCACAAAATGATTCTGACATTACAAAAACGTGTTGCAAGTACTGGGTTCAATGTTTTCTTTTTCTGGGTAAAAGGTAAAGGACGCATGTACTTGAAAATGTAAGAATCGGTGATGGATTACAACATAACTTTTTCGGGAAATTGTTCTTAATTCTTTTCATAAATAAAAGAGTAAATTGTCAATTTAATCTTTAAATTATTATTGAATAGTTCTTAAATTTTTTATTCGAAAAAATAATTCTTTAAACTCATTATAAATTGTCAATTTTATCCCTAATATAAGATTCAAATTTATGGTATCCAATTTCTCGTTTAATTTAAGTCATATGACATATTTTTTGGGGGTAGTACCATTATTTTTTTCACCAATTTACCCATTAAAACTAACTCTATTATTTTTTTTGAAAAAATAAGTTACTAAACTCATTAAAAATTGTCCATTTACTCTACAAAGTGTATCACATATTCAAATGCAAATCACATGATTTAAAGTAATGCAAAATTAAATAGAATAACTTTGTATCTTATAATAAGGATGAATTGACAGCTTTTAATGAGTTTAAAAACTTTTTTATTTTAAAAATAATTTAACGACTTAATTTTCACCTAAGTAATAATTTCGATACCAAATCAACACATTACTCTAAATCATAAGAAATCGATCCAATATTCCTATCCTCAAGAGTGTCCCTTCGATGTGCCCAAAGGTTACTTTGTGGTTGTGGATTAGAAGTGGTTTTAAATTTTATTAAGTAATTTCTAATTAACGAAAAAAGACAAATCAATTAATTGGTGTCTAAGTATGAAGTTGACGTGGGATCATATTCTAAGAAAAGTGACAATAGTTACTAGGTTAAAGTTGCCAAAAGGACAAAATATGAATGAATGATTATCTAATTTACGTTGCTGATCGACAAAGTTGTAGAGCTTTGCTTTTTTCTTGCTTTCTCTCTCGCTAAAAACAGTAGAAAAACTACAAAGTTGTAGAGCTTTGGCTTTTTTCTTGCCTTCTCTCTCGCTAAAAACAGTAGAAAAACTACATTCAGAGCCAATCTAATTAACGCAAAGCAAGTCGAGCTAGTTTGTCAAAACAGTATGTTTGTTTGTTTTATTCAAACACAAACGTCCTTGGCAACAAATTAAGTTAGTTTAAGATACAATGCAAAGTACAAGCTAGTTAATGAGAGCAATATGTTCGTCTATTTTATTCAAGCACAAATCTCCTTCTCAGCAAATTAGATTAGTTTAGAATATCACTTTGTAAAAGTTGGATGAAAAACGTTTGTAGGAGGCATCGATTAGCATGGAACGTGGTGGAACGTCAAGGAGAACTAGTCATCCAAGACAAGATCAAGTACTATGCTTTTCCAATTGTTCTAGCGGGCATGCAAAGCAACCTTGAAAAATATTCAAGCCAATTCCCCAAGCCATTCCTTACTTTATACAAGCTTACTTGGCCACCAAGCTTAGAACCCCTCTAATGAATCACGATCATATATAACTTGGTGATGATGAACATGTATCATCAATTAGCAGCACTCATACAAATAATTAAGTTTAATTAATTGAGAAGGTATGTCTAGAAGGCCGGGATTAGTATATTCGTCGGATTCTGATGACGATGGAGTAATCCACGGTGCAAAGCTCTTCGGACGTGAAAGGCCGATATATCATGTTCTTGGAGGTGGAAAAGGTATATGTAACGCTGTATATCATCTTCATTCATGTGATCTGCTAATTAATAATCATGTTCGTGAATTAAATGTGATAGAGTAGTACTTACTCACTTTTATTTTGCAGTGGCGGATGTGTTGTTGTGGAGGAATATAAGTGTATCAGCTGGGCTTTTAATTGCTATGACGGTAATCTGGTTTCTTTTCGAAGTTGTTGAGTACAATTTCGTGACACTCCTCTGTCATATCTCGATTACCGCATTGTTGGTAATCTTCATATGGCGCATGGCTGCAGAAATATTCAAATTGTAACATTCTCGATCTCATTTTTACTAATTGATTAACTCTTATGATATCAACTTAACAATTTAAATTAGTTTTATTTAGATTGAATAATTAACATATTTATCTATGCAGTCCGCCACCTATGGTACCTCAAATGATATTACATGAGAACACATTCAAACAAGTAGCTTCCACTGTCCATAAAGGATTCAACCACTTCTTATCAAGAGTTCTTGATAGTGCATGTGGAAGAGACTTCCCATTCTTCTTCTTGGTATATTGGAAATTTTTGAATAATTAAAAACCAATTACCTGTTTTGGTTAATGACTAAACTTGGTACTAATTAACAGATTTAACAACTCATTCTCTTTACATTTTCAGACAATCATTTGTCTCTATATTTTGTCTGTGATCGGAAACTATTTCAGCTTTCTGAATCTTCTTTACTTGGGTAAGAAGTTTTGTCACCTTATTCTATTTTATATATACGTATATATGTATATATACGTGTATGTATATGGGCGGATCCGTGATTTATTCAATTAGGTTAACTAATTGGCACTCTGTTTGCTTGCAAATGAAGGGTTCATCTGCTTGGAAACGCTACCATTCCTCTACGAGCGATTTGAGGAAGACGTTGATCGTTTAGCGGGAAAAATCAGCCGAGAGATAAAGAGATCGTACAGAAAGTTTGATTCTCAATTTCTCAACAAAATTCCTAGAGGTCCAGTGAAAGACAAGAAAAACAGATGAAACTATAATCCCATGGACTATTCATACCATGGAACACATTTATCACTCACTGTGTGAAGATTTGTGTAAATAAAACACATTATATATGTGCATATATAAAACTGTATAATACACATGTATATATATCAATATTACAGCATTGGTTCCATTTGATTAGTTGATCACTTTAGGCTTTGTGAAATGGTTCCCATTTTCTTGGCTGGCTCCGAACATGTTCCCGATCGAGTAAATGTCTATCAAATTCCATCCGTAAAAAGTCGAATTTGCCATGAGCAGTCCCATTCTGTACATTATTGACACATGCATGCATGATATGCAGCAGAAGCAAAGCCCACCTGGATACATATATATGGTGTTGTTTAGAGGTTACAAATCAACTCATTGCCTTGTTAATGGATATTCATTAAGATCCATTTAGTTTGATTTTACATTATACCATCATCACCACTACCAATCTCATGTCTATATTATGATGATATCAAATTAAATGGATCTTAACGAATATCGTTTACCAATCCAATGAATTAGTTTGCCAACTCTAGTGCTTCTTCCTCAAGCTTTCTAATATCTGCTCCACTAATAAGTATAATATTACATGACTGCTGACTAGATATGACACCTGGGGATCGCTCAGATGGATCTCAGGATAAAGGCAGATTAATTATTACAGTTTAAATCTCTAATGGGTCACCATTAACCTAGATAGATTTGGACTAGTTGTAGCCTTCTCCAGTCAAAATCTCAGAAAGGATACATTTATCTTCTCTTAAATTATTGTACATATTGGAAAATGATGGCCATTTGGTGATGATAATTTTCACGGAAGTGCTGAGCGCATGCAGTCTAATAAAGTAGAAGTTCTATAATGCATCAGTGTATGGATAAATTAGTATTACATTAGACAGTGGAACTTGTGTGCTTCGATTAAAACATTCCAATCTAGCTAGCAGTCGTAAAAAGCAAAGCATCACTCATCAGTTTACAGTAGAAGGTCATAGTGTAGAACACTCGCCGTTGTACTAATGTATGGAGTGCATGGTACTGCAGTGGATAGTTGGTTTCGATTCAAACATTCTAATTTAGTCGCCATAACACACTACTAGTGTAGGAGATGCATTCATAATAATTGAATTTATGTTCAATTTAACCGTTCATAGAAGCATCATATACATCGGTGTACTGTAGATCGCTAAAGAATAGAAAACACAAAACCAATTTGGCTGTCATTGTCCCTAGTGACAATTCAACTTCAATACAGAAAAGGCCAGAGTGGGATGTGAATGCAATCCCAACAACCCACCATCATAATTTTTAGTGTCAAACTCTGAGCTCTGCTGTTTTGCCTGCCAATTCTACCACCTTAAACACCCCAATTAGGAAAATCACGTACAAAAGTCCAAAAGTAAACACACACACACACAGAGATCCCACTAAGAACAAATAATTCTACTTGGAATGTCGACTTTAGAACAATATATTATTATTAATTCAAGAAGCCTATGTATAAAGAGAAGGATGTTTTCGTAGGGCTTTTCATTCAGCAACCTGTAACACACACACACACTCACACACAATTATAGTTTGAAAGATTAGATGGTGAGAGTATCGAGCGAGAGAGGTATTAGTGATGGTGGTGGCGCTAACTCGTTAGTGTTATGGGCAGCTTTGCTCAGCCTGTGTGTTGTCTCCGCCGTAGTTTTTTCGTGTGCGGGTGGTGTGTCCAAAGAGAAAACCACAGCAACCGATACAGAGTATGACGGCGGTGAATGGGCAGGCTGCGGAGCAGCATGCGGTGCATGAAATATTCATCTCCTTACAATACGTAATCATTAAAGTGTGAGAGGTTTGCAACTTCGATAATTAAGTTAGAGAAACAATATGAGATTTAATTTCCGTTCAAATATTGTATCAGTTGACGTTGTAACCCTACTCAACAATTATAAAAGTGAAGCACCTTCATCTGATAACTTTGTTTCAGTGGTCATCATTTTCGTTGCTATTTTGCCTCAGTCTGTCCTTATGATCTGGAATGCTGTAGGATACATCAATTATATATGCTTTGTAAAGGGAAAAAAATTATTTTGATGGTTGGGGAATATTGACGTCGCGGAAGATTGAAACTACAAGGCATATCTATAAGAGAAACGTCGGTTTAGTTTGAAGGGTGTTCAATTGAAAAGGCTTCAGGTTTTGGTGGGGTTGTTGCGAGCTTGTTTGAGATTGCTTCTTGAAAGGTTTTGTAAAATACTTTTTAACATTTAAAAATGTTTTAGGTCATGGTAGTGATTTTTAGAGAAGTATGTCAGATGTTAACAAGTATTTGAATTTTAAGCATGAAAATGATAAACATACACTGTTTTTAACTTCTCACACAATGCTTGTTCCTACTGCATGTTGTTTCTACTTGATTTGTTTAATTCGATGACTAGAAATAAAGAGAAGTGCATGAGAAGCTAAAAGAAATTGCTTACAATCCCAAATGACGGTGAAGGAATCATTGAAAATTTCAATTGAATAAATTGTATAAACGCGCGAGTTCATCAGTAATGTCAAGATGGCCGAGTTGGTCTAAGGCGCCAGTTTCAGGTACTGGTCCGAAAGGGCATGGGTTCGAATCCCATTCTTGACAAAACAATTTTTTCCAATTTTTTTTTTCCAATTTTCAATCATATGTTCGACATCAGGATGAAAATCAGAAGACCAACAATATAATGTAACTTTAAATTACTGATACAATAAAATATATGGCAAACAACTGCATCTAAATCTTATAAAACACAGGAATATAAAGCTAAACATATTTTAAAACTTTAATTAACGTTTTGTTTGCTGCAGTGCCGACCTTTTGAGTTGCCATGGAGTTTTAGAGCATGTGATACCACCATGTGCCTCACCAGGCACACTATCCAAATCAACGTCCGAAAACGAAGAGTAAGATCCGTACACTCTCTTCCCAGCTGATCCACAAGCGCAGCGCGTTACGTGCTGCGCCGCCTGCGATCCAACCTTGCACGGTACCTTGATGCAACACCAGACAACGGTTAAAGGGCAACAAATGCACAGCAAACAGGCGCTGCAGAGAAACTGCGTGGCTTTTTCACTCCATTTCGCCTTTCGTCCATGAGAAGAAGTATAAGTAGAAACAGAATGAGAATCCGAAGGCCTTGCAGTGTTCATCTTGCTTCATTTGACATCGAAGGATTCGTTTAACCTAGCTTTCTTTTTGCTGTGTCACTCCTTTTGTAAGGTTCTATCAAGTTGCTGTTCAGTGTCTTCTTTTTCTTCCTTTTTCCTCTTTTCTGTCTTACTTTCTGTGCAAGCTTTTCACTTTTTATCATCTCCGCAGAGCACTAGAAATATACTCCGGACGCCTTACGGGGTGCTTGATTCGTCAAGGACCAACTGCCTTAGAATATCGAAAGGCAAAGCAAAAGGGGGAACTGCACGCCGTTGCAGGACGGGGAGGGAGGGGTGGAAAAAGGACAGAAACCTTCTCAACCCTATGATGGATCAGGTTCCCTTGAATTTTTTCAAGTTTTAACGATGGATATTTCTGTTCATAAAGTAGCAGAATCTTATCTCAAACCTATCGTTACGCATCGATGCAGAAACCATTCACTCCGAAAGAATCGGATTCCAAATCGAGGATAATCTGTTGTCCTGGTAGACGCAAAGCATATTTCAAGTAATAACGGACTGAGCAATAATAATGTAGCACTAACCATCTCATTAGTTAAAAAAGCAACTCATTGGTAGTACATTTAAGTTAACAGCGAAAGAGCTCGCCGAACCAAAAAGATCTTTGAAAGAATTGCACATAAACTTCAAAACAACACTGATCTTAACAAGTTATACATCCATGTGAACATTTCAAGGGCTTGAAGGCAAAGCAAATGGCTTCCAACATTAGCAACTAGCAAAATGTACCGATCCGCGCACCAAATATCCATTTGGGAGTGTATAGACTCTATTGCAAAATAATAATCTTAGAGCGGGGGTCAACCAATTAAAACACTGAATGTCAAGAAAATGTCATCCCAGACCAAGAAACTTATTTGAGCTGCTGGAAATCAAGATCTCAAGCAGGTAATGCACTCTTTCCTTGCAATCTCATGGTCTTCTTCTGCAGCCTCTCCATGAATTCAGGATTTGCTCTTAATCTCTCCTTGACATACGAAACTCGAGCATCCTCAGCCAGTTTGTTTGCTTTCCCAGCTTCCTCAATGAGGGAAAGAAGTGTCCTGAGGCAGTCCTTTCTATTTTCTTCTCGGTGTTCAAACCTTCACAAGAAATCACGGAAACACTGATTCAGCTTAACTAATAAAATACACAATCAACAATACCATGTTGGAACTTGGAGGTGTTAGGGTACACGCACTGCACTCTAAACAACAATCAACCACTAAGAACTCCAATTAATAATGAAAATGATAATAGAGAAAGAGGGCATGCAGTTGCCAGTTGACCTACCTCTCACTAGTAATTGTAAGCTCATCTTTCCCTGGATGGTACCGCTTTCCAACCAAGTCTCTGAGCCGACGGAATTGATGCTTTGAAAGCCCGAGTTCTTTCACTGTAACAGACAGTTTCACTTTTCTATTCTTGGGATGCCAGGAATCACCACCAGGAGCAAAGACTACCCGTGTTTGCCACCTAAGGATTGGCCCTTCGCCTGGTGGGTCAGCTAGATCCTTCTTGTCAGACACATCAGCCTCATCAAATTGTGGGGGGCCATCGGCTTCCATCTTCTGCAAATAGTCCATGACAATCTCATCCTCAAACTCCTTGAACAACTCATAAGCTTCTTCAGGTTGAAGCTCCCCTCTTTCACACTTATCCCCTAAGTCATTGAACTTCTCTTCTACCTTCCTTTTCATGTCATCTGGAGAAGACAAATTCTATTACACATTATTCAAAACAAAACAAAAAAATGCAAGTTTGAATCAAAACGAGCAACTTTGGTGACATTTAAACACTTTGGTACAATATTCATCTCTGTGATAAGCAAAGAAAATGCTTGACAGCTAACAATTGGATGCACAGAAAATTACCCTTTGAGCAAGGGTCTAGCCATGTTATTAATAATGATACTAAGAAAACAACTACTGCAATCATGTCGAAACGGATAAAACAAATGGTAAATTTGAACACTTTGTGGGCAGATGCCGAAATGTCATAAAGCTCAACATACAAACATCCAGCAAAAATTAGTGTGTACCTGGTAGGAGCTTATCCCAGCTAAGCATATCCTCGAGAATCTCTTCACACTCCTTCGTATCTTTCATAATCCCATGCTTAATTGCATCCTCAACAATATCATCCCACTTCTTGGGATCCATGTTGAAGTACTCATCGTTTGACATCCTCTTCATGACTGTATCCTTTGCGTTATACAAGTCATCAATCTCTTCATCCGTGTCGTGCAATTCCTCAAAATCCGATTCAAACTCTTGGTCCTTAACATCATCCAACGGCTGCTTTTGCAATTCATCTATCAGCTCATCATCCGTTTCCTCATGCTTCCCAGCCAATCTCCTCTGCAGAATCGCTTCGAGTATGGCCGGAAGCGCCTCCTCATCACCCTTAAAATATTTATCTATCCGCTCCTTCAGCTCTATAAAACCAAAAACGACAATTACAACGAAAATTTCAAACCCAATCGTTCTTATCTCTATTTAGAAGGCAAAAGAAAAATAGTTACAAATGTCACTTAAATTCAATAAATTTGTCCCTCCTTGGTACTAAACCAGAAACCCAATTAGCCAAAATATCCAAATAATCCAATCTCCATCAAATTAATCACACTTTCTTCCGATAGAATGGAAAAAAATTACAGACCCAAAACCCCAAAAATCCAAAAGATCAAAACTTTAATCTTTGGTAATAAAAAACTTGAAAAAATAAGAGTTGGGTCACCTTTGTTATTGACGTCCTTGACTTCGACGGAAGCATCTTTCTTTTTGGTTGGGATCAAGCTCGAATCAGCAGCCGGATTGGGGCTTTCGGCGGAGGAGTCGCCCTCCGAGGAGAAGAACCGGCTGAACAGGGACTGAGTCGAACGGGCAAGTGGGACGAGTGAGGGGGTTGGATTTGGGTTGAATGTTTGAGGAGAGAGAAGGCGATTGCGAGTGTAGAGAGAGAGATTGCTCAGCAAAGTTCGTCTCATGGTTCTTTCTCTCTCTAGGGTTTATCAAAAGTTGGGATTTTGGGTTTCCATTAAAATGCTTTGCCTTCTTTCTTTCATTTTCCTCTCTGCCCAAACTGGAAAATGAATTTTTTAAAATAAAATAATTTTTATCTTACTACCTTAGTTTTCTCAAAAATGGCACTTTGGTACCCTTATTTTTCGTTTCACTTTCATACTTCCGTCAGCATTGCCGTCAAGTGCTCTGTTAATCGGTGATGTGGCAAGATCCATGGATTTAAAGGTTAGTGAACCAAGTCTGCATCAATATTGGGTTCTAGGCTGCCAAAACTGACATTCTAATTTACCTATTTGGACAATTACACGCCCAGTTTCTTCAGGTTGTTCTTGGATAATGGAGGGGAAGTTGTCCCGGAACACGCCCCAGAAGCAGCCGTCTGTGGCAAACGATACCAAAATCGGATTGTAGTCGATTGACTCGCTCGCTCCTTCCCTCCCTCGCTCGTCGTTGATTAACAACTTTAGCTAGCTATCTTCAATTTTACAAGTGAGTTGCTCGCTCTCTCCCTCCCTCCCTCACTCGTCGTTGATTAACAACTTTAGCTAGCTATCTTCAATTTTACAAGTGAGTTCATTTTGCAGTCTGTTTTTCGCTACCTCTGTCGATTGTTTGTATGTCTGTTTTGCTGCTCGATGATAGAGTTGGTCAGCTCTACTGGATTTCTTGCTGCCTTCTGTGCATTTCGCGCCATTCGCGATCAACTCAAGTTTCTGTTTTCTATCTTTCGAAACTGGTGCATCAGATCAATCAGTTAGCTAAACAAAATGTTCATAGCAGGCTGCATAAAAGTGAGTTTCGTTCCTTCTTTTCTTTTCTGTAAGCAGAACGATTTCGCCAATTTGCAAAGTACATATTTAACTTAACCTAAGATCATCGACAAACAGATACCATCCGAGTCCGAAAACTGAAACAATTTGAAGAAACTAAACCATAGAGGTTTTGCTACTTTTGTACAACATTTTTCTAAAGGGACAACAGAACACCAGTTGCCTGCTGCACAATGCAATGTGCTTGATCCTTGTTCCTTCATCACATTACCTTTAATCGTCATCAAATTTCTAAATCGCTGCCGGGGAATTCATCGGCATCAGCTTCAACCTCATCTTCGATATCACTCAGCGGCTCCTGCCCGTGTCCGAGAATCTCTTCCATCAATTTCTCATCGGTCTCTTCATCCTTCCCTGCCAACTGCCTCTTCAGAATTGCTTCAAAGATTGATGGCAATGCCTCCTGATTCCCACTATAGTAGGAATCAATTCGCATTTTCAGCTCTGAAACCACATCATCAAACCCCAAATCATCAAAACTAATGATTGAAATATTAAATTTAACCTCCAAAAAAGTAAACATCTTTCGTCCTACTAATCTTCAAGATCGAACTTTTATTGGAAAAAAACACGAGAGAAACAAAATTTATGTAAAATTTCGGATCAAATAAAAATAATAAAACCCCCAAAAACCCAGAAACTCGAACAAATTCCAACTTTTTTCCAAGCCATGAATACTGCAAACTGCAAGTGATTAAAATATAAAATATAAAAAAAATAGCATCTTTAAATCAATCAAATTGCGATTGTAATTTCCAAAACTTTCACAGGAAATAGCAGATAATTAAAAGCTAAAAGTTTCCCAGAAAACCCAAAATTTATATTTCTCAGAAAATCTTAATTACCTTCATTACTGACACCATCATCCCCTGCACCATTGGAAGCCTCTTTCTTGGGTGAGGGTGACTCGGTCGAGTAGAAGCTGTGTCTGGGCCAAGTCGAAGCAGCGAGCGGATGGCCGAGTTGGGTTTTAGGGATCGGAATGTGGCAGGGAGGAGAGAGAAGACGAGTGCGAGCGCAGAGACAGACATTTCTAAGCAGGGATCTTTTCATCGTAAGGGTTTTTTTTTTCCGCTCTGAGTTGGGTTTAAACGGGAAAATACTGATAAAATGGAAGACGGAGTTATCTGGACCTATCGGCGGATTTGAATCATTAGGCCCAAATGAATTACGGCCTTTGGGTGGGAAAGTTGGACATAATATTGGGTTTGTTTTTTTTTTAACCTATTTTTTTAGGAAATTTTTTTGAAATGTCATATAAATTTGTACAACTTTTTTAATTTGTCATAGAAACTAAAATTTTACGCAATTTTGTCATACTAACTTTTCAAAATCATCAATTTGTCACCTCATCTTAACTCCGTTAAGTTTTTCATCTACAATAAGTCATGTGCGAGGCACATGACTTGTGCTCAGGGTTATTTCTATCATTTTAAGATCTTTTTACAAATTCTTTATTTTTCTTTAGTAAAACCCTTAAATTTTTTGTTTAATGGTATTCATGCAGATCGTTGTGTTCGAGTAACATATATGCATCCACAACTCCATTTCTAGCACCATACAAGTTCTCAACCAGTTTCTCATATAACACAGCCTATATAAAATTCGATTTCGTGACATACCAACTGAACGCACCCACTCATGTATCTTAGCACATTTTGAGCAACCATACGAGAATGCAATGCATGATCATTTCATTGCTACCATATCAAAAATATTGTTCCATTGATTATGATAAATAAAAAAAAAAAAAACACCAAATACTGAGGAAAGATTGCTTAAAGTTCACAACATTGTCTTCATCTGAAAAAATTTGACATTAACAAAAGGGTAGTGTTAGTGGCATTCCAAATATCTCATTCTACACTCCTCACAAGTGTATTTTTTTTTTTCAAATATAGAAAGTTTGGAGTGTAGAATGAGATTTTTGGAATGCCAATAACAATTCCCTAACAAAATGTCTAAATGATAGAAACCCTAGAATTGTGGTTTTAGAAACCCTAGAATTGTTTTGATCGAATACAACTTAATAGAAGGAAGTGTGGTGTTTAAATGACAGAAATAATTATGAACACAAGTCATGTGCCACACACATGACTTATTTGGTTGAAAAACTTAATGACGTTAGGGTAAGATGACAAATTGATGATTTCGGAAAGTTGATATTACAAATTGCTTAAAATTTTAGTTTATATGACAAATTGAAAAATGTGTATAAGTTCATATGGCTTTCAAAAAATCATTTTTATAATGGAAATGATTTTCGGACTTTTTTTTTTCCGCATGTTTCATTGTAGGGTAGTGTTATCCGCATATCCATTTTTACTTCTCACACACCTATATCAATTTTTGGCCCTCAGATCGAATGAATTTGAGAAGATCAATGGCAAAAAAATTAACAAGAGTGTGTGGAAGTAAAAATAGGTGTATGAATAACACTTTCCTTCTATGTATTTTTGCTCATGGATTCTATTTAAGTATTTAATTCAAAGACTAAATAAATAAAGATGTACATTAGAAGAACAATGCGTATGAAAAAAGAGCACGAAAATCATTTCCATTGTCAAGCCTGGTATGAAGGTTTGTAACTAAGTAAGACATTAAAGTTATTTATTGTATGATGTAAATAGAGCCTAAACCTAAGTGGGTAAAGGATTTCTAATTTGGTTGACGTTGCTTGATGTGCGAGATCACTTAAGCACATCCTTTATTACTCGGATTAGTAGTGCACGCTATCAGAATGGGTAGCTATAATCATGATAAAGACTAGAAACTACTTTCTTTTGGTAAAATTGGATCACTTAAGCACATCCTAAACTACTTAGATTGGTATTGCACGTCATCAAGGTGGGTAGCTATAGTCATGATAGGACTAGAAATTACTTTCTTTTGGTAAAATTGGGCATAAATTTATCGTGACTTGGCAAGAAAAAGAAAAGGAGTTGTATCAACTATATGTTTTGATACATATTCACAACTCTGCGGTTTAATGATACTTTATTTTCATGATTAAAAGAAATCCGAGTCCAAATCTCATATCGCTCATTAATTAAAAGTTCTCAAATCTATTTCATTATGAAAAAAACAATAATAATTACAAAAAATAGTTAGAAATGACATCATGTTCTTTTATAAATATCTTCATATTATGATATTTTTATTTACCGGACAAGTGATATGACATTTTGAAAATTCTTTTGTAGTTTTATACTCTCAATTTCAAATGTAATTTTGTCCTTCATGTTTGTTTTATTCTTGTAGTCAATTATTCTGTTGTAAGTGATTTAGATAGTTAGCACATTGTCTTCTATTATTTAAACCCCTTATTACATAAGAAATCCATTTTTTAACATGTGGATTGTAACTAGAAAGATGCTAAAATTTTTCTATAAATTTTTCCAACTTCTAAAAATGTTTTGTCAAAACTTGACCACCTGCTAATTTTTTTTCTTCAAAAGAAATGTTTCTTGTAGCCGAGTGCCAAAAATGCTATTTTAAAAGCTATTTTAAAAGCTATTTTTGAAAACAACGAAAGGTTGAAAAATAAGCATGGCCACAGACAGAGCACAGAAGCTTATTTGTGCTTTTCCTTAAAAGCCGATTTCTGCTTTGACAATTGACTTTTCTTTGCGTCTACTCTTGTCTTGTGCTTTACACTTACTCATATAAATATTAACCTGCTGCTGAGAGGAGCACACCATTTTTCCCTAATATAATAAAAGATACCCTCTTTTTACAGCATAAAGCAAAGCTTATTCCGAATGTTCCGATCCTAATGCATTAACCATGAGACTAATCATAAATCTAGACATTAAAAAAATGCTTAATTATGCTTAATGGATATGATTTACATTTTGTTCAACTATACATAATCGACTCTCGAAACTACCAAGTATTTGTTAGCTGTTAAAGAATATTGTCTATTGTCGAAGCACCACATATACCCTGAAGAATCCTTTCGAAGCACATAAGTCAACCCGACCTCCTTATTATGCCGCATGTTAGTTTAACAAACCAGAACAACAGTACATCCGTTTCTTTGCAATTGAGTTAAAATCTTATTTTGTAAATTAGAGTATTTTCTTTTAAAAGCTAAAGCATATTAATGTATAATCATGACTAAATATTTGATGATGGAAAAGTTTAGCTACTCTCATCACTAGCGTCAGAGTATACCCATAATCTCAAACTGAGAAGACTTACGCGTGGCACTTGTCAGCTCCCACCAGTATGAATTGACGTAGAACTTTACATATTGTACACCAACTAGAATGCTGGCAGCAAAGTTCAAACTTGAATTCAAGATTAACTACAAGCACACTATTACCAACTGAACCAACCCGGCTCATCATGACTAAATTTAAAGACAAACTAATAAATTTTTTCCCTCGTGACAAGATAATGAAATCAAAACCTTTTTAATCCGTAAATTGTGGTGAAATGGTGGAGAAACAGCGAGCATCTTTCTTTTTGCCACTATTTTGTCTGTTTGGAGTTGGACTTGGACCCATGCATGCACTCGGACACGGTTAGAATCTTCGACAACAATTTTCGTCGAATTAGGTAATTAATCCCTTGCTTTTTAGTTATATAAATAAAATAATATAAGCGGCAAGCTGTTGAATGTTGATGAATCGTGCAAACTGAAAAAATCAAGTTGCTATAATATATACTTCTATTTGAGCGATGTTATAATTTAATTTAAATTAGTCATTCTTTATTATCTGAACTTAAACCAAAACGTCACGAATTTTGGCATCAAGAAGAGAAGCTAAATACACGACGATGTTGAGTTAGTGGCTGGGAAAGGCTCGGAATTCAGGCAAACATCCAGTGGTGTTGTACGTAGTGAGTTTAGTGCACTAAGCCAAAATGGCTAGGATTTCACATCCAAAAAATAAAATACATAGAATCTTTATCATGATTAAAAATCGTTATACATAAAGAGATTCAAAATTAAATATAAAAGAAACACTACTGTAACAACCTTATAATTTCATTTCAATGTCTTTATAATAGGAAATAGAGCAACTCCCTTTCTCAAATGGCACTCAACTAGTGGAGTCATGGGGTGGGCTTCTAAAGATGCCTTGGAAATTCTCAAGATTTAAAAAAGTAAAGAAAAGTGGGTTTTTTCTAATAATTGCCTTAAATTGTGATTATAAAGCTTGCTTAGGGATCCCTCCACATTCTTTATAGTCAAAACTATATTGTCCCCTATGTGGACATTGGAATGAACAAACAAGTCGTAACTATATGATGTTTCTGAATTTGGATCATCTCTATACCTTAATGTTCAGAGCCTAGATCAAAAAATTGAAGAGATTTGGTTTGTATGAGGTGAGTCAGCAGATAAGTTAATAAGGATCGTCAATTTTAATTTGAATGGTCCAAATTGCCTGGTCTAACTTTTGACTCCAAACAATGAGTTCCGTAGTAGATCTCTATTCAATACTTATACATAGGTTTACATTACAATATGTTAACCTATGAGGATTTTATTCTTAATTTTCCCTCATATGGAGCAATTAAATCACTTGAGAATGTTCTACTTCTACATTAGATAGTTTGAAAACGTTTGAGGAAAATTGGAAGTTTGATATTTTCTGACGGAAGAGTCATTTTAACGAAAAGGATTTACATACAACCCTTCTAGATTTAGATGTAACATGTCATAGTAACATCTAGAGCAATATACTCGTCATTCCACAAGTACACGAAATATTGTATTCTATTTTGCTTGGTTCATCATGGTTATCATAACAATGTATTCACATTTTTGAAACGAAATAGATAATGTAAATATTGAATAAGAAGGAGTATACCTAAAAAGGAAAAAAGTTGGTCAATGTCGTAAAAGATCATGTGACTCAGATTACACATTAGAACTTAGACAGGGTGCCAAAGCAACCTACTTCTTTACCCGGCTTCGAAATTAGAAGAAGTCATATTCCGGTAGAACGGTCCCACTGTCCCCAACGAACACAAGCTAAGAAAACCTAATTACTAAATAGCAAGGTACATTTGTACATTATGTTTTAACACAATGTTTTATAATATTAACATGAAAATTGACGTTAAACTGTGAAATGATAGAGAATTCATGAAGAGTTCCACTTTTAAGAGAATCTTCTTAGCATTTCTTATTAAGTCAATTCTTAGATGAAGGTGACTAAACATATCCTCATTTATAGCACATATACATTCACCAAGTAATTGGGTGTATGCAATTACATATTCACCAAATAAGTGGGTAGAGAGGGTGTACACAATGAACTCGGAGTTGGAAGTGTACAAAGAATTTCACGTAACGGAAATATTATTGTGATACTATGTAAATACATGATATTATGTGATACGATTTGAGATACTAATACAGTATATGATATTGTGAGATTGAATTGAAATATCTTCGAAATAATATATGATAATTATTTTTTTTTTGTTCTTCATATTGAGTATTTTACCTACTTAAACCCAGCAGCCAGCATTTGCATGGACCCCATCACACTGGATGCTTGACACTGAAAATTGACAATATCCCTTCAACTTCGTGCTTCAGTAAAAGTTAGGTCTCCTTTCACATGAGATTGTATATAATTTGACCTAACTTGAAAAAAAAAAAAACTTGCGTGAAATAAAAACTTAAATTACAAATATTTTAAGTCTAACACGCCTTGTTATATTTTTTAACTTTCACAAATCGTTATGCATGTCTAATTCAAAATACAGCTACAGTGACGTAATTAAATGAAAAATATGTAAATGCTTGTACAAAAGTGATGAATTTGGACCTTGTGATTTGGCAGTGGGACCATTACAAATGCTGACCACAGTAACACACACATCTGTACATACGTAGACGACATTTTTTCTGTTGTCTATGTACTAGACCTGTCTTTGTCTCCAAGCCTCAAACCACTGTAGAAAGAGACATACAGAAAAATACGTTAAAATTCAAAAACCAATTAAGTCTTTGGTTTTGGGTTCGATGATAAGAAAGCATCAACTGACTTTTTTGGGAAGCAGCTGGCTTTAAAAGCACAAAAGAAAAAAGAAGGCAAAAGTCGAAAATTTTACTTAGATACCAGAGGCTCCCTTGTCTGCAGTGCTTGATGGCATGTGAATTAGATCATCTCCAGATTTTCTCACTGAGTGTATCCGAATGATCAATTAATACTAATCGTTCATCAAAGATCATACAATCATAATTAAATATTTTTTATATTTTTAAAAGTAAAACAATCTCGTTTTGCATGAAAAAAAAAAAAAAAAAAAATTTGTAACTGCATAATCTTTGATGAACGGTTGTTATTAATTAATCTCTAAAATTCCAATGAAGAAATCCAAAAAGAATCTAATTCCGATGGCATATACCCTCAAAATCCAACAAGAAGACAAACCATAACCCACCTAAAGAAGCCATTCCCACAATTAAAATTAAAAACTCATATCTTAAAATAAAAATAAAAAACTTAAAGCATTTCTGGATGTTAAAAACGCTATTTAAATAAACGTTTTTCTAAAAAAAGTACATGCTAAGTGCTACTTCTATGTTACTACTTTCAAGCACTATTGTAAAATAAAAGTACTTCTAATATAAGCAGTTTAGAACAAAAGTACTTCCTACAACAATAATCTAAATGCTTAATCTCAAGTCAACAAATACAAATAAAAAATGGATATAAAAATTTTAAAATCAAATTCTATCCTATATTTTTTTTATGTTGTCTCCACTTAAATTCACCACCCCATTATTCTTTATCTCCTCTCAAACCAAACCAGTTTACTCCTCTCTCCTCTCTCCCTCTCTCTCTCTCTGCCAATCATGCCTCTCACAGAGAGCTCAACTGCAGGAGCGGAGCAGATGAAATGGAGAAGACCCAGAACCCAATTCAACCAACCCATTTCAGAAACGGATCCAGCCACCTCCCCCCTCCAGTCCACCCGCTGCAAATCCACCATCTCCTCCCTCCTCCTCTCCAGCTTCACCACCTCCACCAACAACAACAACGAAGCCTCACCCACAAGCCTTACCATCAAGAAAAAGACAAACTTTCCCTCGTCGTCGTTCAGAGGCATGGGCTGCGCCGCCTCCGCCTCGCAGCAAGTCTCGGTGCCGGAGGAGATTCGGAACTCTGCCGATTGGAAGGGAAAGAAGGTGAAGAAGAAAAAGGAGAAGAAGAGCGCCGCCGCCAAGGGCAGCGCAAGCAATGAGAAGAATGAATACCGGGATGTCGGTGATGGCGGGCCCACCATTGGTATAAATTCTGCAACTTGTATGGATTTTCAGGATGTTTGGTGCGGCCCCGGAATTGGGTTCTCGCCGGAAACTGCCGGCTCGGTGGATTGCGTGGTGGCGAGGAGGAATGTCTCCGGCAGAGGCAAGATTTATGGGGATAATAATAAGATGAGCAGCCATAGGGAGGTAAAAACTAATAAGTTTTTATTTTTGCAGTCAATATCTTCATGTAATGCTTCTAATTTGTGCCATTCTATTTTTTATGAGTCGGAATTACTATTTTTTATTTATTTATTTTTTATTAGAACGATATTCTAATTTAATCAAAATTATGACGGGATAGCGATATTCTAAATTATTCTAATTTACGAAAAGGGAGGGAGGGGGATTCAAATTGGGTGCTTGAAGGGACGTACAAACTGTCGTAGCCAACTAGCCTGACCCTCGACTAACAGCTTTTATGGCTATTTGGTGCTTGATGAGGATATGCTGCATTGATGGTGGTCTTTGATCATTTATACATTATTGTGTTCAAAGCTGATTTTCTGTAAATTTTGTGCTTCACGGGATCATTATCTCATTAATTTTTCCCTTAATTATTTTGTTAAAGCTAGGCCTCTTGATCTGTTTGGTTTTATGATTTTTCTTGGGCACTTAAGAGTTGCCTTGAATTTACACCTTTTGATTTTCTCCTAACAAGTGCACGTATTAATTTGCGTAGTTTAGGAGAGATTTTTCAGTGTGTCAGGCCGTGTTCTCGAAAATTTTCTCATAGTTTTTGTAATCCCACACTAAACGGGATATATATCTATGATTAGATTGTGTTAGGCTTCTCGGATTTCTTTAGGGTAGGACTTTTCCTTGTTTTTCACTAAATACTGAATTGAATATCAACTTAATTTTCTGCTTGTGTGATGTATAAATTCTTGTTACTTTTCTAATTTGTTTGTTTGATTAAACTTCATGGCAGCGTCCTTGTTTCGCAAGGCGAAACGTGAGCCCCGAAACCATCTCGTTTCTGGATTCTGAACCGGATTTTGTCTCGAGCCACCCTGAATCAGAGGTATTTGGAAGTAGGTGTTTTCGGCATGTCCGGCATCCATCCCCTGAAGGCCTTGCAGAGGTGAGTGTTTCTATGTGCTTTACTCTTGCTTTTGCCTGTTCCATCTCTCACTTGGTTTGGCACTAAAATCTGTTTGATGTAGCAATATTAGTATGTCTTGCTTTGGTTTGGCAAGAAATCTAAATAATATGCATCTTTGATGGTGGAAACAAATTCGATTCAACAATGTAGTCTTGCCGCATATCATGTTATTAGTCTTAGAAATGAATTTTGATAAAGAAGATATTAACATTACGTATGTTTGACGGTTTGGTGATTGCAGATTATGCTGTTTCAAAGTAGTCTTATGATGGGTGGAAGAATGGATAGATTCCGTGACTGGAGACTCGATGTTGATAGCATGTCATATGAGGTACCTTTTCGCAAACTTCATCTTTGTGCCAAAAGTGTTTACATTTTCGATTACCTAAAGTCGGTATTGTATGCATTTCTGTATCTACATTCTCTCATATTTTTTTGTTTCCTTTCTTTGTGGATAACAGCAACTGCTCGAGTTAGGCGAGAGAATTGGCCACGTGAGTACTGGATTAAAAGAAGATGAAATAAACCACTGCCTTCGAAAGATTAAGCTTCCAATGTCGAGTGACGCGGCATCACATTCATCTGGGAAAGTAGATAGCAAATGCATCATTTGTCAGGTGAGTTTGTAAAAACTCTAGCGATTATTTCTTAGAGATCTTTATCCTTTTTCGGTTTTTCATTTCTTAATCTGTAATTACTCGATCCTTACAGGAGGAGTATGAAGCAGATGACGAGATGGGCAAACTGCACTGCGGACATAACTTCCACTTACAATGTATAAAACAGTGGCTCACACAAAAGAATACGTGCCCTTTCTGCAAGGTCGAAGCAATATCTAGATGCTAGGGTTGGTGAAATCTTCGTATCCCCTTCGGTACTGGCGTATTTTCGGTCGCTGTTATTCCCGGCATATCTAGATGCTAGGGCAAGTATTCATTCTTTGGTTTGAAGGTTCCAACTTTATTTGCTTACTTTGAAGTTGGAGTTTCAGCGGCATGAAATTGAACAGTGGTCATTACACTCAAAATATATTACAGTCTGTTAAAGTGGCTTTTCCTGCCTAATATGAATTTATTGATTGCTTGAATTTTCAAATGATGGTTTCTGTTGAGTGAACGCTGGTGTTTATACGATTTGTCGGGTCGGGTCGGGGTGGAATTTACGACGTCGTAAAAGCGTTTCTCAGAAGAAAGAGAATTTGGGAAGAATGGTGTGTGGCTGCAGAAAGAAGAACAGCAAGTTCTGCTGAAATGGACAAATGTCCAATCACAAAGGGATACATGGCTAAACATTTAAAGAAATTAAAACTTGAGCCAACGTTGTTAACTGCTCTTTTTTCAGCAGCCAAATATTATTTATCTAGGAATTGGTTATACACAATAAGAATGGTGAGCTTAATTTGGCGGGTTCGTTCGTGCTTTCTTCTTCACAACAATGTGCAAGATATTTCGTTAGTTTAGTATTAGTTTAACGGCCTGTTTGGAATTGTTCATAAACGGTTGAAGTGGTTTCTTATAGCCAAAAGTGTTTCTAACTACGTTAGAAAATTTAAAAGCATATTTAGGTTGTAAGAGCATCTTCAATGGAACAAAACTATATTTACATCTCACTTTATATCTTCGAGAGATAAATGTGAGTTAATACTCCAATGGAAGATGTAAAATTTGAAACCTCATTGATTTCTCTCTGACTAGCACATCCTAGCTCCTAAGGACGTAAATTTATATTTTATTAAAATTAAAAAAAATATATATTTACGTCATTGGAGAGCTTTTCAGCCGAGAGGAAAAAAATGTAACATACCAATTTCGAGGCATTTTGCATCTCCTGTTGAAGATGCTCTAAAAACACAATTGTCACCTTCAGTTAGTGGATTCCCTGGTGCCTTTCTGGCAGGGGTTCGAAACCCGTTGAGAGCACTTTGTGGCCAAAGGCAAGCCGAACCTCGAGCGGAGATTAGTCCCCCCCCTTCGGGTGTGGGGACACTTCGTGGTCTTTACCAAAAAATAAAAACCACTTGGATTATTTATTAAAAATGCAGAAAATAAAACCAACAAAACCGCTTGTAGTAGAAACGACCTCGAAAGGAAGCTTGCTTAGAAGTTCTCTTTGCCAAAGGATACATTTCTAATACAAGTATATTCTTATGGTCAAATTGCAAGCATTCTAAGTTCTAACATTTACTCATAACTTACAATATTTCTAACTTTTAAGTTTCTGTTGTCATATACATCTTTTCCCTTACAACTTTGTGCAAATCGTAACACAATCCGTCTACAACATACTCGTATGCGTGAAGGCCTGTTCGGAGGGTACCTCGCTCGCCATGCTTATCGGCTGTGAATTCCTTCTGGGGTTATCTTCATCTGGTTGCATTCTGTTTTGGAACTAAACAAATGGCTTTAAGGTTCACGGGTTTCGGGCCACAGAGGGAAAATAAGATGAAGAAATCAGGTCCTGTCATGACGATTGAGAAATTTGAAAATGTGCGGATATACTGTATCTGCTGCCTGCATTTAAACATGAAAACGGCGAAAGGAAAGGAAACAACGGTCAAATAACACATCGAGAATCCAATGTTAACTAATCGTGCAAGTAGTAGAAATGTATAGCTCATACCAAGCAACCTCCTACTAAATCGTAGTGAGCATAATGAGGACCGCTGGCTTCTCCAAGAACTTTGAAAGTAACCATTTCTTCGGGAATCAGCTTCACTGTTTCTACTCCACGTGCGTAGTCAAGCCCATGGACGAAAGGGAGGGGTTAGAAAAGAGGAAATTAGTTCGCTGGACAGATTATATTAAAGACAGACGGTTCAGATGAATTAACATTGTACCGTAAACAGCTTCGAGAGGACATATTAGGTCTTGATCGCCTCCAAGAGCTAAGATTGGGACATTGCTTTTGCAAAGGTGATCCTTGTAAAAGAAAGTTCCACTCCTGTCACATAAACCCCCATCCGCGAAAAGTGTTGCTAGCTGCAAGAGAAGCTTAGCGGGCACGGTACCTGCAGGTTATGATCAGATATCAGTCCAAAATTATAAGCTTCGCATAGCTCCTGAAGGTCATTTCTAACCAGCCAAACAGTAATACGAATCACTAAACAGTTATAAGCAGTTTTTACAACGCAGTTCTGAATGCTTGGAACAATATATGCAGCAATATGGCAGTGTATGTTGACTTACAAAAGTTGTTTAAAATAAGCTTTCTGAACAAATCTGGCTGCATCATGCCTTGAGCAGAAACTTGAGGCTTAAGCCAAGACGAAATTGGAGTGCGAGTACCAAGATGATGCACAGCAGTGGCAATTAGATCAAATGGAACGGCAGGAACGTTTAGAACCTGTGCTGGGTCAGCCTAAGCACCACAGCAAGATTAAAGTTTCCTCATTATATTTTTTCCACAAGAATAAAGTTATTGTAGCATACAAAAAAGAGATTTTTCTTTTATATAACTTGCCAGAGGTAAAAATAACTTGCACGAAGATCTTGACTGCGTGTAGTCAAGCGATGATGCCAAAGTAACAACTGATGCCAACCCGGAATCTCGCCCTTGGTAAGCTATAGAAAAAAGTAGTCATTTTAGTGTACAAGAAAGACATCGATCTTCTATAGTTGCTACATAAACAATAATAAAAAGGATAATGACACGATAATTAAAACGACAAGTTTAGCCTGGCAACTTACAGCAGCGTGAGAGCATTGCATATAGCAAGATACCGCCCATCGAGTGACCAACAGCAAGAAGCTTGCCATCCCTTGGTTTGCATTGAGTTCTTATATACTCCATCTAAGATGACATGAAGTTTAAGATAACCATTCTATCAAAGTATTAAAATCTCATGTTATCGCACACAGACAAACACACACATGCCATCAGTGATGAAAACTTAAATCTGTGGTTTCTATTAAGAAAACTAAACTGTTCCAAACAACACACAACAAAATTTCGATGTCAGTCATATTAAAGGAATGTCACCTCACCGCAACAGGCACATCCTCTTCCAAGTAGTGATCAAAGTCCCAGTCACACTTTACAATTAAGTTGAGCTGTTTCTGGAAATCTTCTAAGGCAGTAGAAAAATGTTCTTGGAAGTCTGCAAACCTTGATAATCTTTCAGATAATTGCATAAAGGTCTCCATAAAGTTTCTCACTAGTTGCAATTCATCCGATTGAGACACCAAATTATATGTCCCATTCGAAGAAATTGTCTGCTTGGACATGGCATGGGGAGGCTGCTTCACCGCCCCTAAGTCCATACCATATGTGCTCAACCCTGCACCTCTCATCTCAAGAATCCATGTATCATATCCTTCAGCAGACATGGAGCGCGCAAACGAGGACTAAACAACAAACAATTATGTATCAGTAGTCTTATATACGACTCGCGAATTACGAACAAAGAAAGCTAAGCGACTGTTTGGAATTGATTCTGGAACGGCTAAAAGTGTTTTATGACAATCAAAAGCCCTGAAGTTTGGCAAAAAACTTAAAAATGCGTATGGGTCCTACAAGTGCTTTCTAGAGAAGCACCTGCTATGTACTTCTTCAGGAAGCATTTCCTGATGCAAAGTTTTGAGAATTTTTTTGACATGTTTTTACTAAAAGCACTTCAGACAGAAGCAATGCTAAACGAGCCGAAATTACTAGTATGAATTTTGTAATTTATACACTGCAACGTATTTACCTTTCACATTTCAATTTTCAAAGATATTAACTTTTTAATTAAGTTTTCAGCTTTCACAAAAATAATTTGATTAACATAATAATGCTGCTGTTTAATCATCACCTCGGGAGAAAGATCGTATCCAATCGCATTCGTCGCAAGTCCTGACAGCAGCAGCAACGGATGATTCCTCGGCTCCGCCTGCATATCAATCAATCAATGAATCAATCATCCATACATACATCCATAAATGCATATATACATACATCATACATACATACATACATACATGCAGAGAGAGAGGTAGGGAGAGAGAGGACCTGAGAAGAGGGTAGGTAGCGCCAGAGAGCAAGGCTCCAATCGGATTTTGGAACAGAGACATAGTGAAGCTCGTCGGCCGTACAGACCGACCACCGCGGGTCCTTTCTCTTCTTCAAATCCAAAGCGACGCCGTTTGCCACGGGACTCTGACGGGCAGAGACCCGGAACGGCTCGGGTTTCGGGTCGGGCCATGTGATTTGGCCGAAACTCCAACGGTCCGTACCACGAATCGCGGTCAGGGAACGAAGATCCGAATGCGGAGCGAGAAGCGACATGTTGTTTTATTTTCTGGTGGTGTTTGGCTGCCGTTTTATTGGAGGAGAAGAAATGGTTGTTTCCCGGGAAGGAGGAGAGAAAGTGTGTAATATTTGGTTAATTCCGTTATTTGGGAGGAGGGCATGACCCGCCGGACAACAAAGCGCCTACTAAATTTGAAGAAATTTTTCAATGGGCTAAATAGCCAAAATGTTTTCTGGGATTTGTTTACATAACTCATCATTTTGATTCATGGGATTGAAAATCAATAGAAATGGTCTCTGAGATTGTCTACAATCTATCATTTTGGTCATTCGGTTAAAAACGTTTTGGGCAATTTTCAAATCTTCGTAACTCAATCCTTTCTTAACCAAATTCGACCTATAATATATCAAAATGAAGATAGGAAAGTGTAGAACAAGATTATAACTATTTGGAAGCCCAATGGTTGCCGTAGATGGCCGGAAAATAGTCTCAAAGGTGACTGATCCGCGATAAAATTGGAAAACTTGCCAGAAATTGTGCAAATTTTAAATGTTTATAACTTCTTCAATACTCAACGAAATCGAGTGATTCAAAAACGAAAATCATACTTCTTGACAGGATGAAGATAATGGTACCTTTTTTGACTGCTAATTCATGGTGGTTTGGTCGGAAAACGGCTCGAAAGTGGCTAACCATTTTCAAGTTAGCCACTTTCGAGCCATTTTCTGGCCAAACCACGCCGAGTTAGCCATCAAAAAAGATACCATTCTATTTGTCTCGTCAAGAAGTATGATTTTTGTTTTTGAATCACTCGAGTTCGTTGAGTATTGAAGAAGTTATGAGTGTTTAAATTTTACCCAGTTTTCGACGAGTTTTTTAGTTTTCTCACGAACCAGTCACAATTGAGGTTATTTTCCGACTATCTCCGGCAACCATTGGGCTTTTAAATAAATATAATCTTGTTCTACACTTTACTGTATTCATTTTGATATATTATGAGTCGAATTTGGTTAAAAAACGATTGAGTTACGAAGCTTTGAAAATTGCCCAAAGAGTTTTTAATCGAAGGACCAAAATGATGGATGATTGACAATCTCAAGGACCATTTCTATTGATTTTCAATCTCAAAAACCATTTAGGCTATTTAGCCTTTTTCAATGTGATCGGTACACGGGGTAATATACTTCGTATCACTATATAAATTGTAGGATAAGTGTGTTAAAAAGTTAATAACTTAAAAAATAAAATTTCTCACCATTTATACAAAACATATGGTGTACTTCCCGTGCTCCGGTCATAATGAATTTTTTTCCTAAATTTGTTGTTTGGTTGGAACTTGGAAGCATTCTACTTTTGTTGACTTATGTAACCAAAAATCAACATCAATTTCACCAAATTGCATGATATTTAAAATTATTGAGATACGAGTCAAGTTAGTTAGTTCAAATAATGCGGACCTTATACTCAAATTTATGTACTTCTTTTATATTTCTTTTCGCTAACGTACATTGTTTGTAACTTTATATTATCTAATAAAAATAATAGTGAGTTAAGGAAAAATTGATTTTTAACAAAGTTGCATAAATCGAAGTAATGTTTGTTGACAAGGGGTTAGATGTAAGAGAATTGTTACTTTTAATTTAAGAAGATCATCGTGTGCTCCAATTTCATCAGAAACACGAGGAAAATTTTGTATACATATGAGTTCATGATGATCATTTTAGAATCCCGATCGTAAATTACATACACAATTAGATATTAAACTCACTACAAATATATGTCATCAAGTCAAACTTAAAATACCAAGAGAAAGTGGCCAAATGATCATTATACAAATCCCAATTGCTAAAATAATCAAATTTCAGTATATCGTCAATATTTAATCATCATGTCATCAAAATTTGATCAATCAATTAATGATATTTGATTTTAATCAGTTCATCGTTTAAAGAATTTGGATTATTTTAGCTAATTTTCCAAATATTGAAGTGAAGATAACAACACTAACTCAAAAACTAGTTTGGTTTCAAATGGAGAAAGAAAGATATCTCCCTTTTGGATCTTGAGGATTGGGATGCCATTCATCATGTAGGTTGTTGAGTGTTCACTGTATTTGACATGGACCATCGACCAACCAATCGTGGCTTGTTCAGCAACTTCAACTACTTAGTTTGCTGTTGATTTTTAGCTTTCTGCAAGAGATCCGTCCGATGGTGGGAGAGAACCAGGACAAACCGACAAAGTTTGCTTTGTCAAATATAAGTTGATGATGCATACATACATTGCTCATAAAAATTCTTCGGTGTCAAATATAAGTAGATGATGCATACATACATTGCTCATAAAAATTCTCCGGTGCTCCTGAATGTTTAGCGCAAAATCGTGAGCAGCGAAGTCTTAAGATTTATACAGAAAGTAGATGATGCATACATACATTGCTCGTAAAAATTCTCCGGTGCTCCTGAATGTTTAGCGCAAAATCGTGAGCAGTGAGGTCTTAAGATTTATACAGCCGATCCTACTTAGTAGGATAAGGCTTGGTTGTCATTATTTTGTTGTTTTTTGTTGCTCCGGAATACTACAAATGTTTAAACCTTTAGATTTTGAATTTTATATCTTTGAACAAAAATCTAAGGATTTAAATACCGGAAGTACTGAATACTTCATAGTACCCAAGAAAGTTCTCAAGTCATTGTCTTTGCTGGAATTGGATTCCATTCGGATTCACCTTGTGGGAATTCTAAGGATTTTCACATCTTAGTCATTTATAATGTATTGTACGGTAAAAAATCATTTGACTTTTTTTTTTTAAATTAAACATAAATAGTATCTGATGAAAGGTGACCGCATAATGTACAATGAACAGCTATAATGTAGAGATCCCTGGAATCCCTACAAAATGAATCCGGAGAGAATCATTTTCCGTCTTTGTCTATCTTCCTCCACAAACAAATTAATCAACTTTGATTTTGTGGGGACTAAAACATTAGTTGAAACAAACAATTTGGTTCATCAACTTTGATTTTATGGGGACTTTGTCGATTCCCTGTCTTTTTTGACAATTGCGGTATTAGGGGAGGGAATCAAACACGAGAGGTGTAGGAACGAATACTCTTAATCACCTGAGATACAGACCTCTTTGAAATTCCCACTCTTGAATTATAGGAAAAACAGAAGGGTTTATTAAAATTGTGGAGAGAAAGTACACTCCACATTATTAGTTACAGAACTAGTGTAGCTACAACCATCGTAATCTCTTTCGTGTGGGATTACTCTTTCTAATTAGGCATGAAAATGAAGTGCCTAACAATGGTAAGGAACAACTTGGCAACTCATTTAGGTAAAGCTAAAGCAGTAAGTGAAAAACAAACTCTAGGAACCTAGCCCGCCTACTACATTCATCGACAATTTCACGACCTCAAGTTCTACCTACGAAACACTCAAAGCTTCCGCATATAACAAGCTAACTCATCTTCCGTCGACTACAACAATTTGAAACGGAGGAACCAGCTTTCAAGCCTTGTCCTGCCAAGCATTGAGTACAAATTCTACTTCTCTTTTGTTGTTGACAAGTTGACTAGAGAAAGAACACGCTGTACAATCTCTGTAGAGGCATTCGAATTTGCAGCTTTCAAAGCCCTCTCGGACAACTCTGCCATTTTACTCTCGTCCCCTGTAAAAAAGAAATGATGGCAAAAATACTGATATCTACTTTTTCATAACAAAATGACGTTACTCATCTTTAATCTATCATATCTAGTAAATTTTTCATTACAAGCGGATGCACTTCCTGGTTGATGCAGTTCAAATAACTCCGTCTTCCATTACAAAACGACATACGCAAACCGTAAGGGAAAAATACTTGGTGTGAGTAAGTGTTTCAAAGTTCTGACCCTCAATAGGAAAAACACTTCCACATGTAAGGGATCTTAATTATTTCCGCAGACTAATTTTTCCATGACTCTAAATTATCTTTTGTATCAGCATGACGAATAAAAACGATACTTATACCTGATGCCCACACTAGGAGAAACTGCTACTCTGTGGCAAGAAAATGAACATACCTAATATCTCTTCAATTGCACTCCCAAGAGTTGTTGAATCAAGTTCATCTTCTGTTATAACCCTTGTACCAGCTAAGTCCGCCATTAAAGAAGCATTTCTGAACTGATGACCTTCAGCAACATTTGGTGATGGTATCTAAAAATTCAAAAACCAATTCTCAATTTTCCCCTTAAGCAATACAATCAACGTAATTACAGTTATTAAGAACATGATCAAAAAACTGATAAAAAGGAAAAAACAATGACTGTTAATTCGCTCTTATATCATGAAATTCAGACAATCAAGCAATAAAGGTCATCCGACGCCAATGTTTTATTAGAGAACTTAAAAAAGTACCAGAATGGAAGGCTTCCCAGTTGCCAAAATCTCATAGCAAGTCATTGCACCAGCTCTAGAAACAATAAGGTCTGCTGCTGCATATGCCAAATCCATTGAATGCAGGAACCTTCATTATACAGAGATACATCAGCTTCAATGAAAATATGTAAACATACATCACAACCAAAGGTGGAAGATAAACAAAGTCCACTACCACTATTGAAGTTGAACCCTCTTGGGATTACGAGAAAGTTATTAACATGATTCTTGAATATGAATGCCACATAAAAGTAAGCATTCTTAGCTAGAACATTATCTGAAGTTCGTTACGGAACCCTAGGAAATTCTTCCCCAATCTTTCCAAATACGAATAAGTTCTAAATTTCAGCATTTCATCGTACAGAAGTAACTTTCACTAGAAGTTCATAACCGAAAACCAGAAGCACTTACGGCGTCAATAGCAAGTGCGGATGATTCTTAACAAGGCTCTCCATTTCATTGTGAACCTCCACTCCTGTTTGCCATATGATAAACAAGTTATCATTCTCCAGCAGCATCTGATAATACAAATTCAGCAAAGCAATGTTAATAGCATTAGCCCCCAAAGACCCGCCAAGAACCAAAAGAACCTTAGCTTTCTCCAACTCCCCAACTCCGCCGGCCTTGGGAAAAAACCGCCCTGTTGCCGCCGCCTTAGGCACTTGCTTCTTCAAGGACAACCTCACCGGATTCCCACAAACCACACACTTAGTCCTACCACTCGGGAAGCAATCAATGGTGCAATTGTAAGCTACAAACACAACATCTGCAAAAAATGACAGAACCCAATTGGCGATTCCCGGAACGCCGTTCTGTTCTTGGATCACAAGCTTGGCGCCAATCAGCTTCGCCGCCAAGCCTAAAGAGAAGGAGACATACCCGCCGGTGCCGATAACGACAAGGGGGCCGAATTCGCGCAATTTTGAGTAGCTGTGGACGACGGACCTGATCAAATTGTAGGGGAGGAGGAGGTTCTGGGGGGAGAATATTGGGCGGTGTAATTTGGTGGTGGGCACGGTGTCGAAGTCGTAGCCGGCGGAGGGTATTGCGGTGCTTTCCATGCTGTTGGGTGAACCCAAAAAGAGGATTTTGGAGGAGGGTTTTGTGAGTTGGAGCTCGTCGGCTATGGCAACGGCCGGGTATATGTGGCCTCCGGTGCCGCCTGCGGCGAAGACCACGCGGAGGTTGTCGACGGCGGCGTTTTGGGTTGCGAGAGCTTGGTCATTGGATTGCTGTAGAGACAAACAGAAGGTGATCTTCAGCTTCAAGGTCCTGCAATGGAAAAACAGAGTTGTTAGACAGAGAGAGAAAGAGAGAGACAGAGAGAAGGAATTCGGTTACCTGGGTTTTGCTAAGGGGGTTGCGGGGAGTGGGAAAGTTGGGAGCTTGGGAGTGAGAGAGAGGTGGCGGAAGGCGGCCATTAAAGGTGAGGTCTTTGGAGGTCTGGGGAATGCATTGGTGGAGAAGGAGGAGTTGCAGAGAGGTTCAGAGTGGTGTGGGTATTGGGTCCTTTGTGGCCGCCGTATTCAAAGCCATTGAGGAGGTTTATTTAACCAAATGGGGGAGACTGAGTGCGACCGTTTGAAGTCAGAGTTGCACATCATGAGCTCGAGTAAAAACAGGCCACCGGTGCCCGGTGGGCCGGTGGCGACCTTTATTTGTCTTTAAGCTTGCTGATCTGAATACACACACCACTTTCACTAGAAAAGTTGGACAAGAATCCGGCTCTCACAAAAACATGATATTTTTAGTATAAAAGAGATATAATGTGACACGTCCGATTTTGATATTCTCCAAACATGAGACTAGACACATGTTGGCTAACATTCGAAGGTAACAAAGTCATATTAGGGTGCATGAGAAATAATAAATATAAACAAAATATTATAAATTTAAATATAATGAATATGCAATTAAGGAACGTGTTCAAAACATACAACTAATTCTAGACACTAAAAAGGAAATAAGATAAAATTGAATGAACAAAGGAGTGGGTCCTACACCGAGAGGACTCGAAGATGCTGATGTGGGCATGCCTTGACGTCGGGATTGTACGTCTCGATTCTAAATCCTGAGGGGGTGCAAAACAAACATGAATGGACCAAGTTGATATATAAGTAGTACAAACATAGTTATTCAATAACGTATTAACCCCTAAAGTTTATGAAAACTAATAGTAGAATATATAATAGGTTTTCCGAAAATCATAGCATGCCATAAAACCTTTCATGAAACATATATCGTATAATGTGCTAAATAGTGGTATCATGTATTAGTATCTCACGACATAAGCCACCAACCTACGTCCGGCCGAAGCCAATATAAGTATCTCTCGACCGAAGCCACCAACCTACGCCCGGCCAAAGCCAATATAAGTATCTCGCCCTTAGGCAGAACAATGACCACTAGATAAGCACAAAAACATTGAATATACATTTTCCAAAGATATGTGCGTATATCTCAAACCATCTTCATAGTATATAATCATCCATCATATATACTACAAAGAGTGTAAAAATATGTTCATAAATAGTATATAGTCATCCATCATATATACTATAAAGAACATAAATTCGATAAAGTATGGCATTCCAAAATATTCTCAGTAAAACATGATAATCATAAAGTGTAAATCTAATTTACTCACAAAATGTTTCATAACACGTAACCATTAAATCATGCTTTTTATGTATGCATTTCTACTATTAAAACATGTATTTTAGAAGGGGCCCACTCACAGTTACTTTGCTGTTGAAGAGCCATGCAAACTAGCAAAGTCGGAAACGCCACAATAAATGCACCTAAGCACATAAATGGTCCAATTAATAAAACTCTATTAAAACAAATGAATTTGGGAAAACGGATGTCGAAAATGGATTCAAGACATCAAATTACCTTAAGAAGGGTCCTGGGTAAATTTCGAAAAAGTCAACACGAGAATATTTCACAAAATATTCCCCCAATTTGGGTTGGGCCAGTCAGCTAGTTTTGGGCCTAGACTTTGGGCTTGGTTCTGTGGCCTAAGGGCCTGGTTCCATTTGAGTTGGTATTTGGGCCTGGGTCTTTAAGTTAGGCCCATAGTTGGGCCAAAGGATTTCAAGTTTGGGCTTGGTAGCGTGGCCCAAGGACAATGAGTTTTGGGTCTTGGGTTAGCACGGCCCAAAGGCCTAGTTTCAACGAAAAATGGACGTCGGAGCTTCCCCAGCTCCGGTCAACTCGATTCTCAACCAAACGTTGCAACACTATACATCAAAATTAAGCCTGGTAGACAAGGAAGAAGTTCGTACCACTTTCACGACGTGTGGTGCCCGGAGTTGGCTGGAAAATGCTCTGAAACCCACGGGTTCTTGCACGAAGACTGGGTCTAGCCTTCCCGTGATGTTTTCACTATAAACCTTCACCAAGAACCTAAAATGAGTCCCAACTAGAGTTTGTTCAATCTACAACGAAGGTTAGAAAGAGCCCCAAAGCTTATCAATGTCAGGAACGGCGAAACTCGCTGGATTTTCCCCCTGTTTTGCACGGACTTTCATGGGGTTACTGTCCCAGTTGCAGAGGGACAAGAGGAATGAGGGATGAAATGAGGTTTGAGGGAGAGAAGGCTAGTGTGTGGGTGTGGAGTCGTGTGTGTGCTACTCAAGGAGTCGGGGACCGAAACATAGGAAAAAAAAACAGAATGTCTTTAGATGAAACGATAGGGTTTTATTGCATTAAAGTTTTGAAGGCATCTACACCCAAGCTTAAAGGATTGAGATGACACTCCAAAGCCAGAAAAACTTCATTCCTAATGAAAAGGCCAAGCACTTCGCGAATTAATATTCAAGAAATTATACGTACCAGCCTTGAAAAGAACGAACATGAAGACACTCTTTGACAATGAGCAACATTGACTCTGAAAAGGAATTAACAACGAACCAACTAGTGTTCATGCCAACGTGACTTTTGTGCACAACCATCAGCAAAGATATCTATTCCAACAAAGTAGACCCAGAAGGAGCCAATGACACACCAACACAAAATTAAAATACTCGCGAAGAAAGACTCACAAAAAAGCTCACCAATGGGGCACATATTGACAAAGAATAAACAAGCAACAATCTATAAGAAGATAAAGGATGGAGGATAGAAACATGAGCAAAGGGCTTGCCACCGGCCCCAAGTTGGATCAAGGGGTTAGCGGCTACGGAGTTTGTAGATTTAGGGTTTGGTTTACATATACCTCTTGTATGTTTCTAATATTGGGCCGACCGCCGTTGCGACATTCCAAAGTGCATATAAGTTTCTCTCTATGTTAAAGGTCGTTGAATTTGAACTACATAGAATGAAAGTCTTAGCATGTTTATTACATGACTCATGACACCATTCACAAAAAAGTAAAATACATTTAATATTGCAAGAAAAATGTTATTCACACGCTTATTTTTACTTCTCACCCTTGTTAATTTTTTGACATTGAACATCTTCAATTCATTGAACCGACTGTAAAAAATGAAGAGTTTGTGAATAACAATACTCCGTTATAAAAGACCTATCATTTTAAATATCTCCTAAACTGTTTAGGCTAGACACCATCCACAAGACGTGCAAAAAGAAAAAAACATATCGTGGTCGTCACCTTTCCACAACATTAAAAAGTGACCTTACATAATGTCATGATCATGGCTCTAACTTTCCTTTGGTGCTTCACAGCACTGATAAGGGCAAACACTTGTTGAATAATAATTGTGTATGTGCTTGAAGTGGTAGTTTGTGCACTTCGAGTGGAGGGTTTGCACACAGAGCGATAATATCCTAGCCCGGGTGAAAGTTATCCGGCGTTTAGTAATTTCAGATACGTTACACTATTGGAAGAGTACTGACCTTTACATTATTGAAATGGTACCCGAGCTGACTAAGGTTATCGATACTTACATTGTAAGTAAACCCTAGCCATGATTCTTTACACTATCGAAATAGTACTTAACCTTCCCCGATCAAAACTTCGATTAGATTAGTACTAAACTATATGGACATGGTGCCAGCTCTGCATCTGACTTTTCAGAAAATATGGTAGAAAAGGTCAGAAAATGCGGATTCCCCCAAGATGCCCCTATAAAATATTTCAGATTTTATGTTATTTACGATATGCCAACGCCACCAACCAACATGGATCAGTCCTATATTATTACACACACATGATGGGAGCCTTGGTATTGCTATGCTTTAAAAAAAAAAAACGTCTGTTTATTATGAGAATAAGTTCATTTTTGTTGCTTTACATTTTTAGATTTTTTTGTTCATCCAAAATTGTGAAAATAAGTTGTTTTTAAATATTTACCAAACATCTTTTTGGGCTCAGATTTTTTTGATACCCACTTTTTATAAAAGCACTTCAGTACCAAACTAGTATTTCTAGTTTTTATTTATTATTTTTTTTATAAAAATGAAGTTAGTTGTGAGGCTCACACCAAATGAAATTTAACGATTCGAACTGTCTATTTTCAAGTTGCACATCATAGATCATCCTTGCAAAAAATTAGCCAAATCAGAATATTTGAGGCATCTAATTGAGTTCAAAGAAATTGACAATACTTTGTTCTCTAAGAAACATTAGAATTTTATCATGATAATTAAATAGACAAATGGTTTCAGATTGAATTGAATTTTTACAATGATGATCTATGAATGAAGACTTGCAAAATGAACAATTTAGATCATTAAAGCTCAATGCAAAGTAGATCCCACAACTAATCCTCATATTTTTTGGGAAAAATGTGAATCATTTCCGTTAATGGCCTGTGTATATGAATATATATTTATGTATGCATGCGCCCGTGCCGGAGACCATGTGACTTTATATATATCTAGCTAAGCTGTCAATTTGCCTCCTGAACTATCACTTAACTTTCAATTTCCTTCATAAACTTTTTAATTGGAAAATTAAGGACTTAAACTAATTTTATTGGCCGATTTCCCCCTACCATTATTTTTCATATATTTCATCCAAATTAACGTTAACTCTTATCATATACACACCACGTGACTCCTTTGTGCACAAAAGTGTCACTTCGCTAGACCTTTAGACACAAAATTTATAGAATCACACATATTTGCATAAGTTTATATTTTAAAAATCTAAGGTTTTCAATTATTTTAAAAAATGAAGCGAACGAACTACTCTTATATGTTGTGCACATGCTTCCATTTAATAAAATTTTGGACGGAATGAATGAAAAATTAATAGCAGGAGGCAAATCAGCCAAAAAAATAGTTTAAGTCCTTAATTTTCCAATTAAAAGTTTGGGAGGAAATCGAAAATTAAATAATAGTTCGGGGACAAATCTTCAGTTTACTCTATATATCTACATGTTCTGCATACAATAGTGGCTGTCTATTTATATGAATTTAAATGAAGCCCCAAAGTGATCATCTTCTTTGCGAATTGCAAGGAGAGCGTCTTACATACATTTCAAGCCATTCATACTGAATCACTCATACACGTCACTTGAAAATAAGTAAAACACATGATATTGTACTATTCATGTGCGACGCTACAGTGGCATTCCATGGGTGTATGTAAGTCCTTCCTCAGTTGCCGTGCTAACCCTGTTGTTATGTACATTGTGGACCTGAGACACCACAAATGTGTCCGAGAGGTGTATGTAAGTACGTCCCATTTGACGAGAATATCTAGTGGATCAGTAGAGAGAAGCAAGTATTCGCTGACATGAATCTCAGCATTCATACAACATAAGGCAGCAGTTCTAATATATAGCCCATAAAAATATGACAGAACAAGAAAATCTATTCCCTTTATTAGATCAAATTCTATGCATAGGAGCAACGTCTATAATAATATAACCATCAATTAAAGAAAGAAGAGCAAATCAATATGAAATTAAGGTAATTCTAGCCTAATGAATTATGATTGTGTGGTTTTGATCTGCTGAATATGCCGGTAGCTGCTGTTTCGATTCTTCTGACAGTGCCACTGCTGCGGCCGCTGCTGCAGGAGTCATAGATTGGTATTGAGGAGGCAATGGGGCGGCCTGATGCTGTGTGTAGAACACTTGTTCATGTTGAGGATTGGCGTATTCGTAAGCGTAATTAGCAGTTGCAGACGGAGGCATGGCAATGGACTGAGAAGGATGGTGATGCATTTGAGAGAACCCCGCGTATTGCAGCTGGTATTGGTTAGAAGGAACTTGGACTAATGTTGGAGTTTGTGGCCTAGCCGTTTTGTAAACCCTTGCAGACACTTCAGGCGAAGCCGTCATTGTGGGATAAACGGGTGGGATATTACTGTCCTTGTAGACGGCAGAACCAAAATTTGGGGATGTTAAGTGGCTTGAGGCAACCACGCTCGTGTCAACCATGTTAGGTTGCATAGGGATATTGTAGGATTGTTGTGACTGCGCAACAGGCATCAAATAGACTGGGTACTGCTGGTGATCCATTTGGTGGTGAGGCTGTTGCTGTGATGGCGGCGCATACATTGTATAGTAAGATTGCATTGGCACTTGGCCTGCAGCGGGATGGTGCATGTAATGTGTGCTGGCATGGACAAATTGTTGTTGTTGCTGCTGCTGCTGTTGATCTGATTGTGGAGGGATAGCGTACCCGGAATCCTGAACTTGCTGAACTTGATTTTGAGATCCCGGATCGGACGCATCGCCGGGTGTATTAGGGCTAGCAGGACCACTGATGTTGTCCCTGTTTGCAGCTTGAATCTGCTCTTGGTAGTACATTGGTTTGGAGAGAGAGTTGGCAGATGTAATGCTACTATCACTGGACAATTTGGACAAACAATATAACCCATTTTTATCCAACTATTATCTCCAAACTCTAAAAACAAAAATTGGAAAAACGCAAGTGACTTGTAACTTAGTTATAAAGAGCATTAGCCCCTACACTCAATTCTCCAGTTTGATTACCCCTCCCAATATCGCTTGTGTAAAATAAAATTAGAAAATTGGTTGGATACTAAAATTTGAGGGCAAGCCTTGGCACAACAGAAATATTGCTCTTTTGTGATCCAAAGGTTCGAGTCGTGGAAACAGCTTTCTTACAAAACAAGGATAAGGCTGCATATGATAGACGTTTCTCTCACCCAAAAAAAGCCGACCCCACTAAATGGAATAACACTTAGTTGTTATTGTTAGTTGGATCCTAAATTTCTCGGTATTACAGTAAAATCGCTCATCAAGCTTTACATCTAAATGTTGAGAGGCACATGTTTACTATCAAATATAAACTATCATCTTTTTTGTTTTTAAAAACAATATTGTAAACTACTCTAATATTTTCGAGAATTCAAACTCAGCTGCAAAGAGCGGGCACAATGACCTAGCCCACATTTGCAAAAAAAAAATATTTGATACAAACATTGAAAGCACGTACCTTGTAACTGAGTCCGGTGAAGGCAAACTATAACCTCCGCCCCCGCCACTACCAGCCTTATTAACTTGCAAGGGCTGCAATGGCAATGGCAGGGGAGGCTTACGAAATCCGACCGGCATACTCTGATCCGATGATCTTTCATCATCTACCCTGTTCACATTTTCTCCAGAAACACCAGAAGCATTCATCGTATGACCCCCAGATGGCGGCAAAGCACCCGAAATCGCCACCATTGGCGGCGGAGCAGCAACAACAGCAGCATAACTAGTACTTATCTGAGCAAACTGCTCCTCAATCCCAACACCCCTGTTACCACCCTGCATCAATCTTGCCCCATTTTCGTCCATTCGAACCCGAATCGGAGGTAAATTCGACAAGCAAGGCGACGAAGTAGACGATCCGCATGACGAAGTACTGTTCTCGACAAATGGGGACTCTTGATTGATCGAATGAACATCATGGACAACCACATTGTCAACATTTTTCATCACGACGCGGTTGCCCTGTTTGTTGTTGTCTCCGAACAAGTCGCCTTGCGCCTCCAAATCATTGCAAGAATTCTCACTCCTCGTCAGTAAGCAATCCATGGTGGCAGAATCCGACAGGTTCCTCGGAGGACCCGACCCGTTCAGCGCGTCGACGAACCAAGACTCGGACTTTGCGTCGTCGAGCAGAACACCCATCGACGCGGCGGTTTCGGGTTTCACGAAGAAGAGGAACAGTCGGAGGCGGGAGGGTTTGTAGGGGGAGGCGGAGGGGGTGCGGTCGTATTCTTCGACCATGTTGTCGAGATCTTCATCGGTGGTGACGGAGATGAGGGAGTCGAGGTCTTCGTTAGGGAGCTGGTACTTGAGGGAGAAGGGGCGGCCGTTGAGGAGCGTTCGGGAGAGGCGGGAGCAGAGGTCGGAGAGAGTGGAGTGGCGCTCGGCGACAATAATGCGGGTTTCGCCACCGACGTAGCAGAGGGTCTTGTCATGGGGGCGGGGGATGATGTGGCCGCCGTAGCTGCACATGAGGCGGAGCTTGGCGCCGGGGACTTGAGGGAGAGGGTCGTCCCAGGTGTCGGCATTGCGGGAGCGAGGGGAGGAGTCCACGGAGTCGGGGTAATTGAGTTGCATGCTAGTGGCTGCCGTAGTTGCGGTGGTGGTGACTGTGGTGGGAAGAGGCGGTAGTGGCGGTGGATCCATTTGGTTGTGGCAGTGCGAAATGAAAGTTTGGGGCTTTTTGTTTGTGCTTTTTGAACGTTGGCGCCTCTTATTCTGCTTTTGACTTGATATTGAACAGGTAAAGAGAGTCTTTGTGCTTCTTGAGGTATGTTATGTGTTGTCTATTTCACTTTGAGAGTTTCTTTAAGTTAGGGTATTACACTATTATATAAGAGGAGAGAGACTTGAACTCGAATCCGAAAACACTATTTTGACAAATTAACATGAAAGATTGATTATAGGAAAAAATATTTGGATTTTGAGTACAACGACTGAACACATTATTCCGAGTCCTTCAATTTACTATAAGAAATATTTGAACTCGATTTAAGGACTTTGACATGCACATTATCTTTATAAACCAAGAAAAAAAATTTAAACTCGAGTGTAAAAGAATGAACACATTATTCTCACAACCTAGTCTAAGTCACGTCTCTTGACCACCTTTAAGTATGAATTCAATGAAATGCTTGATTTGTCCCCTGCCTTCGGCTGATTACATGATTTGTCCCCTATGTTTTGCTTCTACCAAAAGTGACTTCAAAGACAAAAGGGAGAACCTTTAATTATGAATAATATTATTCATACCATGTTTTTATACTACATTTTTATACCACCTTAGATGGCATCTGATGTGGACAGCCACATCATTTGAAAAATTTGCAAAACCCAAGGAAATGAAGGAGAAAAACTCCTCGTATACCACAATCATCATTTTATTAACTAGTTTTTCTTAATTATTAGTTTATTAAATAATGAATTAAATTTAAAAATTTGATTAATTCAAATGATGTAGCTGTCCACATCAAGTACTACCTAAGGTGGTATGAAAATGTGATATAAAAACACGGTGTAAATAACATTACTCTTTAATTATACACCATTCATGGGATTAAACCAAGTGAATGGGTTTTATCTTTGCAAATACAATTATATAGGTAATTAGTAAATTTGGTAGATGCAACACAAAAGTTGTTTAAGCAACCAAATGAAGGTCCAGTTTGGTCAAATTAAAATTAAATCTGAAGAAAAAACAAAAAGAAAATGAAATATATTGCTCCTATGCACGCGTGGAAGAGTCGAGGTCCTCTCTGGACTTTACATTGGCGGAGTCCAAAGATTTAGAGATTCTTATCGTTGACGAGAGAGAAAGAGAGATCAAGACTTTTGATCGTGTGAGGTAGATCAATAAAAAGTGCTAATAATGATTGTAAGTTTTAAAATGAGTAATCTGAAATCTTCGAGTTCGTCAGCTTCAGGCACAACGAAGATCTCAAAGGATGTGATATCCACACATCATTTTTTACTTCTCACATACCTTTTTAATTTCGGCCGTCAGATCAGATGAATTGAAAAATATCAAATGATACAAATTAATAAAGAGTATGTAAGAAGTTAAAAATGATGTGTGCATAGTACATTCATATCTTAATTGTGCATGGAGAGAGTTGAAATTTTGACGCGTAGCCCATTCACTGAAGCACATGAACTTTACAGGGAAACGGATCAATCACATGCACATTTCGTAGGTACTTGTGCATGATTTATTCTAAGTTTATAAACCCTTGGTGGTTGTGGGATTAGATTTGGATCTATATAATTTGATTTGATGAAATCAAAACCGTTTTCTTTCGCTTTAAAATGATTTGCTCCTTTTGCTTCTCCTTCATATACGAGAACGCTGTAACGCAATATCAAAACACGAGAGAGCAAATATAGGAGAACAATGTGGTGTGGAGTGTGGACAATATTAAATCTCAATATATATATGAATTACATATACTTATCATAGGAGAGAAGTTTATACCAAAGATAATACGATGACAATCTATCATATCTTTCACGTAATGTTGTGGATATTGATTTTCTTACATGACGTCATCATGTGAAAGAAACAAAGATAGAATTAAAAAAAAAATCATTAATTTGATTCACCAACCAACTTTAACATAATTGATTACTTAAGATATCAATTACTTGCAACATCATCGTTGCATGAAAGTTCTTTCGCTAGCTTGTTACAAGAAACTAGATTCACTTTGACTAGTACTAGTATCCCTTTTTCTTTAGATTGTAATATTTCTCTTTAGCAAACTAATGTGAAAAATTGTCTGGAGTAGTGTGTCCATGTCAAATGTCATGTATCCATTGTGTTGGGTTAAGGAAGAGTAATGCTATTCATATTACATTTCTATATCATCTTAGAGCTACGTCTGATATGGACAACCACATCATTTGAAAAATTTGCAAAATCCAAGGAAAGGAAGGAGAAAGACTCCTCGTATACCACAATCATCATTTAATTAACTAGTTTATCTTAATTATTAATTTATTAAATAATGAACTAAATTTAAAAATCTGATTAATTCAAATAATGTGGCTATCCATATCAAATGCCACATAAGATGGTATGAAAATGTAGTACAAAAACATGGTATGAATAACATTACTCGTTAAGGAAATCAGAGGCCCTTCCAGTGTGCAATTACTGTCATAACTTCTATATTATATTGTTTTGAGCAAATTTAATACAAGAATGTGAGTTGAGTTCTCCTAAATAATTCCCAAGCTCATAAATTCTTTATGGAAGAGCTAGGTGTTATCCTTCGAAAATCCGAGATACCCTTGAAAGCTGCCCTCTAATTGCTGGACGAATTACCTCTATAGACACTGACTGGGTAGCTGCTAGCCTCATGCCTTAGTATGTGTTATGGGCATATGATGATAGGCTCACTTGGCATAGGTTAGCATCTGTTGACATGCTCCCTCAAAAGTTACTAACATCAGTTGACATGCTCACTCGGGAAATGTTGACATTTGTCAACATGCGTGCAATATAACTTGACAAACGACCTCAGACTTACCAAAGTTCGATGAAACGCCAATTTGCACGCTATTCTTATTGACTCCCAAATAATATTTCTTGAATCTGCCACATCTTCATGGTACTTGAAATAACAGATTATACACGAGGTAGCAATGGGTGAGAATTATGGAGAACTTGATCAACTCGATGGTTTTCAAATTTGATTAAGCGGACATTTCCCAAGGGAAAAAGTTAATACAATTATGTTATTTAGAAGAAATTCTCTATGTCAAACCTATATATACACGGAAAAAATAATGTGGTAATTAATAAAACTCACAAAAGGCGGATATGAAATGCGGATTAAGTCAGTTAGAGCCATGTGTCTCCTTTTGCATTCAAGTTCAAGTTAGTCGACTCTGTAATAGGAGTACTGATATTAATCTCATCTCCTATACTTTTATTTGTAAACAAAATTTCTTCGACAATACATTTGTTTTATTTTATTAATGCATATTCAAGGGAGATTATCCAACAACAACAAAAAAGAAAATAAACTTTATAGCAAATGAAATTAAATGAAGGAGAAGGATGAGGACTGAAGTTATCATTTGAACAAAATGTTAAAATAATAAGATAAACTAGGTTTATTTTCTATTTTTTGACCCGCCCGCCCGCCCTTCTCTCTCCCTTTCTTTCTGTTTGAATCGCGCCATTGATGAGGGAGCCCGAGGCTTGGGGAACTTTTCTTCTTCACAGTTCTCTATCAACGGTAATCTCTCCCAATCTCTCTATATCCAATGTATATAGGACAATGTTTATTAGGAAAATATGATACGTCGTATGAAAACTAGGGTTCATGCATATCTTCAAGAATTGTGTTGTGTGTGTGTGTATGCATACACACACAAACAAAAACTAGGTTTTGTGAAAAAGTAGGCTTCACGTTCTTTGATTAATAAGAATTTTAACTGGCAGTTTGAATTGAACCACAAATTGTTATTGTGAAACTTTAATCAGATAGTTTTCATGAAACCCTAGCTTGAGCATCAAATTTTTGCCAAAAATGGATTGGCATTTTCATGTCATTGATATCGTTGTCACACTAACAAGCTCAAAAATCATTCTTAGTCCTCGTTTGGTACCAAGGATTAAATTGGATTGGACAACTTACTAGGTTCATATGATCCTTCAAATGTGTCATTTTCAGTTCCTTATCTTTGGGAGAAAGAAAACAGTTGAGCTAATGGCATTTGATTATTCAATTGTGCCTGTTCTTCTCTTCAAACTGGCCGTGTAGCTCACTCCTTTCCGAAAGATCATTTTGAATTGGTTTCGCACTCCAGTTGGAAAGAAGATGCCAGAGATGCAGCTAGGATCTCACACATTAAGATCTCATGGAGTCAAAGTGGCTAAAGTGCACTAGTATGACTGGTTAATTCTTCTGCTTCTCGCGGCGGTTGATCTAACTTTGAATCTTATAGAGCCTTTTCATTGTTTCGTTGGCAAAGAAATGATGACTGATCTCAAATACCCTTTTCAGAAAGACACAATTCCTTTCAGGGCCGTTCCAGTCTGTATCAGTTTCTCACCATCTCTTTTCTTTCTATCTTACATAGAATACTGAATACTTAACTTGACTATATCTTCACTTCCTGCATCTAGATTTACGCCGTACTCTTGCCTGTCGCCATTTTCTCGTGTACTACATTTGCAGAAAGGATGTTTATGATTTGCACCATGCCATTTTTGGTACTGCCTGTGTCCTTATAGGCTTCCTGTATACTCGGTTTTTATTTGGAAAATGATTTCCGCACAACCCTTTTCTTTTTGTAGGTTGATGATTACTTTTTCAACTTATAGGTCTTTTCTATTCTGTTCTCATAACTCTTGTAATAACGGATGCAATCAAGGATGCTGTTGGCCGCCCGCGTCCAAACTTCTTCTGGCGGTGTTTCCCTAATGGAATAGGTGTAGGTGACAACTTTTCTTTGGTTGTAAGAGTAAGGACTTGTCCTGCATTATGCTGAACTCTTTGTCAATCACGTTTACAGATATATGATCCTGCCACTAACAATTGTGTCTGCACTGGAGAGAAGAAGATTATAAAGGAAGGACATAAAAGCTTTCCTAGTGGACATACTTCAGGTATCAAATCATCAGTCTCTTTCTGTGCTTTGTGCATTTTTAAGGCTATGCAGCTGAAGAAGACAACGCCTAAATCAGTTTGCAATTGTCAATTGTGCAGTTTCATTTGCAGGTCTTGGTTTTCTTGCATGGTATTTGTCCGGGAAGATCAAAGTGTTTGATCGTAGAGGCCATTCCACAAAGCTCTGTATTGTTATTCTTCCGTTACTCTGTGCTTCTCTCGTGGGAATCTCTCATGTGGATGACTACTGGCATCATTGGCAGGATGTCTTCGCAGGAGGTCTTATAGGTTTGCTACTAAATGCAATGATACAATTTTCAGTTCCTTGATCTTCCACTGTATGCAAAACATAATGTAGTAAGTTAAAAGATGATAATCCATCTTTTGGAACGTTCAATTTGTTTAAGCGCAGGAATTGGCATAGCTTCGATTTGTTACTTGCAGTCCTTCCCTCTCCCAAACCAGCGGGATGGTGTGTCCGCTATCTTATTTAAATATGTTCGTTTTCATCAACTGATAGCAATGCTGACCTAATTTTCATGTTTATAAATTTAGTTTCTTATTTTTTAATTTGCAGGGTGGGCACCTCATGCGTATTTCCACATGCTGGCTGCAGAGAGGAGGAATGTTGGCGAGTCCGTGTCTCCGGCCACGAGGGTCAACTCTCTTCGGATGCGAGGAACAGATATCGAGATTCTAGACTTTGAGTCCCCAAGATTCGAGTCCGCCAGTCCACTAATTACTGGAAGAAGCAAAAGATACTGAGTTGAGTTTGTATGTTAAATAGAAATCATATAGAAGGTGTGTGTGTGTGTATATATATAATATGCAACGCAGGACTTCATTCAACGACTCCATATTGTATGTGTAGCTCCTAACATCATTCTTTATTCAATGAAAATTTTACAATGTCTTGCTTTCCAAGTTCATCAACAGTCACGAGTTTGAACTTTCTAAGGATTTGTTCGTTGGTGAATGGTTATACAAGAAGCATTTATGTTGATAAGCGTTCCTTTAGATACACGTTAAAATTTTTATTAAACATCTAGCTGCGTCCTGAAGAAAACAATTGGAATAGCTTCTTGAAGAAACAATTAGCAAGTGGTTCTCCATAAAGCACTTTTATGACTTAGAAAAAGTTTTAAGTTTTTGTCAAGGGTAATGCTAGGGAAACTAAATTTGTAGACAAAATTTACAAACTAAATGATGTGCCACCAATAGAAATGAGCACGTTTATCAACGTTTAAGTAATAATTTAATTATTAATTTACATGTCGTTTAGTTTACCCAATTTAATTTACAAATTTAGTTTGCATAGCATTACACTTTTGTCAAACGTGAGAAACACGGTTACTTGGAAGAAAAACGCATTTACTCTCTTCAAAAGCAATCACAAACATGGTCTAAGTCTTGGTGTTTTTATTCTAAATATTGCAATGTGTTTCTCTTTTCATATAAATCTGTAGTCTTTTTTTTCTTTTGGTTAATAAATATGTTGGTACCTTTACATGTGAAGTTCTTGACTATGAGCCTATGAGAAGAAATTAGAAGGAGAAAAAAAAACTCTCAAAGTCAAAGAAAACAATGAATAAATATGTCGGTGCTTTGACATGTGAAGTTCTTGACTATGAGCCTATGAGAAGAAATTAGAAGGAAAAAAAAAACTCTTAAAGTCAGAGAAAACAAATAAAAATGTGACGTTAAATGGAACAGTTGGTTGTTAATTGGTGATTGCTGGCAACCCCAAGTAGAGAGCTCCATTTACATGATTACAGTTGCTGAACTGCGGGCTCTCATAAATTCCTTCAATAATTTAAACCCCTTACCTTATTTGTCTGTGACATAAATACCTTCATGTCATCTTCATCTTCATCACATACTATATATATGTACATGTATATCTATTGCCTTGCCATATGTAGCTCTCTCTCTCACAGAAAAAAAATGCAGAGGACCTTATTCTGGGGAAACATGAAAAGGTACAGGAGGAGAAGGCGTTACCGCAGACTAAGAAATGCGGTTACTAATGGGCAAAACGCGATGGTTTCAATGGGGAAACGTCTTAAGTTTGGGAAAATTCGAGTGACCCCGATGCTACAAATAAAGGTGAAATCGTCGATAATGCTCTTGAAAAAGTTTAGAAATGCTTATGTGGAAATGATGCTTTGTTTTGCTGGACGTGTTATGCAGTTGAATAATGGCATATAATGTTCACTTGTATCAAAAGACTAATGCTTCCCAGTTCTTAGCTTGAAAGCAATATATAAAGTTTTTACAATCAAGCTGAAGAATAATTTGTATCCTTCTGTATGTGTACGGAAAACAACTTCCCAGAGAAAAAGTTTCTCTAAGACTCCGTCTTCCCCAAGATATTGTGAAAGGAGAAAAGCGAGGAGTGCATGATGAATATTTTCAATTTACTAGGGTGCTTTTATAATTTGGAAAAGAAGTTTTAAAAATTATTGAGTTCTTGCGATTTTTTATTTTTTTGGAAACACGATGAGCAATATTGCAAGATAGGATGCTTTTTTTTTTTTTTTTTTTTTTGAAAGATGATGTTTAATTTCTTTCGTATGGTAATAGGACAAGTTAAAAATTCGGCAATAAAATGCGAGATTACAACATCTGTGAAATTTTATCACAAAGAATTATATGTATAATTAGTAGTGGACATTTTACTTTCTTTAACATTTAATTTATAAGAAAATAGATTCGATCGAGTTCAAGTGTAAAATGGTGATTAAACTACCTTATCCGCCAAACCAATTTATTACTTGTGGCTATAATCAAACCAAATCTTCCAAAACACGGTGGATGCTGATTGGTAAGTACACATATACAATGGAAAGCAACTGCCCAACTCACATCACATGCTCTGCGTGGCTAACTGCTGACTTTAAGTTCCTCCAATTTATTTACATTGCCTAACATCGTGTTCATTCACAATTCCTGCATGACTACTGCTACTCACTTTGGTTTCTTCAACAAGTTTTGTAGATGGATATGAATTGCACAACTTAATATTTACTCATCTTTAATAATTTTTTTGGTCTATTTCTAATCCAATCAAACCTACTTTTTTAATTATGACTTACACGAGTCATTCAACTCCATTTGCCTTGTTTTACAGGTCTATCTTGGCCTTGAATTATATCCCTCTCCGTCTCTCACACCCTCATATCAACCGTGGAAAGACGAAGTTTAGGCAAGCTAGCATGGAGTGGTACAGTTGCCAAAGGAGGATATCTTCGTCTAGTTCTAAGGGATGCCCTTACCGCAGACTAGACAATTTTGTAACGGCTTATGATGAGGAAGAGGACAATGAGAGGAGTGCAGTTGTGTTGAGACAAGGACAGATCAGTGATCTCAACTTCAAGTACACAAAGAGGAGAGGGATATCGAAACTGCCACAGAAGAAAATGTCGTCGATCATGCTTCTGAAAAGGTGTAGAGATGCTTATGTGGGAGTAATGTATAGGTTTGCTGAACATGTTGTGCAGTTGAACGGTGGAAATCCCTACTTATAAATGCTCCATAGTCCTCACTTCTCAGCTCCGAAGTCGTTAAAAGTTCTACTTAATCAAATTAAGGACAAGTTTTAGTTTGTGGGTATGTTGATTTGGATTAGGGCTCTTGTATTAGATTAGTGATGTTTTACTTAATTATGTATTTTGCATATATTTATGTTCATGAAATTCTAATTAGCACTCCAATAAATCCAATATCATGTTGATTCTTTTTGATAAACTTTCTGAAAATCAGCGACTAATTACAATTACATTACATGTACACTTGGCCTGATGATTTTCAAACAAACATTTTCTCTAAAGTTTTGTCCTTGTGTATAGGTAAATATATAATTTACCTTGTGTATGTAATATACCTTGTGAGCAGAAACGCAGGACCAAATTCTGAGATTCATCAAGACTCTTGTCAACGTTTTGGTGATCAAAATCAATTTTATTTTAAAATCAACTTGCTTTTGTCCAACGAACACTTGTGCTTTCCAAAAAATATCTTACATCTTCTAGTTGCAGCTGCCATGTTCACTCTGCAGCTAGGTTTGGTCACAGCAGCAGGTATAAATGATAATGGTCATAATTTTCGCACTCCATTACTTTCTCTTTTTCGGTGTAGGAGAAAAAATGAGAGTGCAAAAATTGTTTTCAGGTAAAATATATGATCTACTCTATCCATACAAGTTTTATTTATTTATTTTTTATATTGAAGTGCTGCATGGTGATGCAGATCATCACGACATGAATATAATTAGGGAACTGAGAGAACGGCGGTCACCGCCTCGTTAATTTGAGTCCAAAATCACCACTTGCAAACCAACAGCCGGTCATGAGGGTACCTGCTCCTGATCCTCCTGTTGAACAACCGCCTCCGGCTGGCACTCCTCCTCCTCCTCCTCCACGGCTTCCAATCCCAAATAACAACAATTTTGCCTGAATTTCTTCACAACATTAATTAATTTTCTAATTGCTATGCTTTAAGCGCCAAATGCAACGAATAAGTAGTGATTAAACTTAGTTGCTTGGTTCATTAAAGATTAATAAGTCGGAATACGGGGATAAGATTGCCATGCATGTATTGTAGGTTTTCCGTTTTATTTGCTTTTATTAATAAACGCAGTTTCCTTGCTGATTTTCTTGTCACGGATCAGCTAACCAAGTGCCGTCTTCTTCTGCTTCAGATTTCTTTTTTTCTTTTACTTATCAGTATTTTAAAAAATTGCTTTTACACATAACGTACGTATATATACATATACATATATATCCAGCAAGTATGATGAACAAACCCGGTGAAAGGGACGGGATCATACCATATTGCATATATGTATATTGTAAGGAAGAACATTCAAAACATAGTCGTCCCTGAGATCTCAGAGGCCTTGAGTTCTTCGAGCATTCATGCATCCCACAATCATATATTTTAATTGAATCAAGTATACCAAGACTATAAAGTTTGCAACAAAAAAATGCTAGATAAAACCAAAAGAAACTTACTAGAGATTGATACGTAGGGCTGGTTTGAGATACTAACATAGAAAGTACTTCTGCTTACAAGCATTTTTACTTGAACCGGTTTTATAGGATAAACTTTTTCATTAAAAATTCAAGTGTTTTATGAAAAAGCACTTAAAAGTAATTTGGAAGTGATTTTAAAATAGTTGCACGCTTTTTGGTGAAATTTTTTTTGAGATCAGTCCTTAGAAAAAATGTAAGTGATACCTAAAAAAGCACTTGAAGTGCTTCATACTAGAAGCATTTCATACTATAAGCATATAACAGGTGCTTCTTGCAAGAAGTAATTCAATTGCTTTTGGAACTTAAAAATATTTTTCTCAAAAGCACTTTCAACCATTAAAAAGTATTTCCAAACGAGCCTTATATCCAAAAAAACGCTTCTATTACTAGAATCGCTTCTATATTAATCTATCAACGTAGTCAAAACTGAAAAGTGCTCAAGTTTATCAAAGTGCATTAGTAACCATATCTTGAAGCCGTCTCAAACAGGCCGTAATATGCTGCACACTATTAGTCGGCCCACAAAACCACAAATTCGCACGAGTCCCTCTTTAAGTCCAAAATCCCACGCCGCAGCAGCCCAGCCCACATCTCTTCCCCACTGCACTCCCCGCTTTCGTCACTCCTTTCCTTTACAGTCGTCTCTTCCTCCTCCTGCATCCTAATCGATCTTCGTCTTCTTCTTCTTATTAGCTGAATCGGGTTTTCCAAGACCAGGTAATTTTATTTCCATTGGTAATTGTTTCGTGTGTTAGCTGACACTTATTTCATTGAATTCCATTTTTCTTGTACTTGAATTTAACATTAATATTGCTTATTAAACTTCATATTTCTTGGGTTTAGATTGATTAGTCTTGTTTTTAATTAGTATTAGCATGCCCCCATTACCAATTTACTAAAGTTCATAGCTTTGCTTAATTTTGAGATGTTTATAAACAGATGGGAGAGCTGGCAGCTGAGAAACATGTTCAATTCATTCTCTCAGTCGAAAAGGTCTGATTTTTAATCAAAATTCAATAAAAAAAAACGTTTCCTTTTCCCACACACATATGTATAAATACATATAAAAGTATGTTTGTTATATATATAATGTATGTATAATACTAACATGTTGATACTGTACTCAGAAGAAGGACTCTTTGGAGGCTGTGGCAATGGAGCATCTAAGAATGAATGGGGCATACTGGGGTTTGACAACTCTGGATCTTCTCGGAAAGATTGAGGTTGTCGATGTCAATGAGATTGTTTCGTGGGTACTACAGTGCCAGCATGACTCAGGTTGTTACATTGTATACATTTCTTAGCTCAAAAACACTAACTGAATTTTGTTCGTTATTGGTTGTTTGTTGATTTTGAGTTCGAGACCAAATGATGACTTGATACAGCTTCGTACATGTAGGTGGGTTTGGCGGTAACATTGGGCACGATCCACATGTACTATATACCTTAAGCGCTGTGCAGGTCTTGGCCCTGTTTAACAAGATTGATGTTCTGGACGTTGACAAGGTTGCAAGTTGTATCCTTTTAGCACATCGGTTTGTAAAATTTGAAATGAATCTTCATTTCGTAATGTATGCATTTTCATTTGGTGAATGCTGGTGTACCAAATAATCAGTAATTCTTGTGTAAAGCGGCTGCTTGTAGCTCAATTTGTAGTATTTTGGCATTTATTGATTAGACAAACAAATTAAATCAAAGAGAAATAAGCAAATTTTGTTAAACTTGATATTCAACTCAGATGTTGCTGCACTGCAAAACGAAGATGGATCATTTTCCGGGGACATGTGGGGTGAAATTGATACAAGGTAGTCGTTTCCGATTTCCTTTGCATCTCGTATTTGTTGAAGTTACCAGCTCTTTATTCGAAACATGATTTAGTAACAAATTGTTTTCTGTTTCTTGAAACGAAAGAGAAAGTAAGCAATTCTATTTCTTTTAGGTTTTCTTACATTGCTATATTGTGTCTCGCGCTACTACATCGATTGGACAAAATCAATGTGGAGAAGGCCGTGAACTACATTGTAAGTTGTAAAAATCATGATGGCGGATTTGGATGCACACCTGGTGCGGAGTCTCATGCAGGTCAAAGTATGTTATTTACCCTATAATATCTGTGAGAAGTTTTTGTTTCTGATTAGTTGTTTCCTTTTTTCTCCCTTCAACGGAAATAGCAATCATTCTTGCATTTCATCTGTCCCAATGGAATTGATCATCAATATAACTTGCATGGTCCGAGAAGAGATGCAATCCAAGAATGACTGGTCTTTAATGGAATTATCAGTCAAACTCCCAAATCTAGGAAAATATTCTTAATTTTGCTTAAACCATCCACAATTGATCCAGCAATGGCATGTTTATTTAGTTATACTATCTGGATGCCTAAATTAGACTCACTTAAACTTTGATCTGCCCATGCCGACTGCAGTTTTCTGTTGTGTGGGTGCTCTTGCTATTACGGGTTCTCTACATCATATTGACAAAGACCTTCTTGGGTGGTGGTTATGTGAGCGGCAAGTTAATTCTGGAGACATTCTTATCAAATCAAAAGCTAAACCTGGAGGCCTTAATGGCCGTCCAGAGAAACTTCCTGATGTGGGTTTTAAATTTTTTTAATTGAAACAATTTTGTTCAGTAAGCAAACTTGTACTCATCCTTACTGCATTTACACTTCGTTTCAGGTCTGCTACTCATGGTGGGTTCTTTCTAGTTTGGTCATGATTGACAGAGTTCATTGGATTGATAAGGAAAAGCTTGTCAAGTTCATTTTAGACTGCCAGGTTAGATTACCCTAACAAGCTATATGTACATTTGGATTATCCCTGTTATCTTATTTCCGTAATTCAAATGCTATTCATGTAACAACCAATTTATCTGAGATGTTTTGGGTAATCACTGAATATTGCAGGACATTGAAAATGGAGGAATTTCTGACAGACCAGACGATGCTGTTGATGTCTACCACACATACTTTGGTGTAGCTGGTATATAAGCTTTGGCGTCACCTTTGCTTGTTTTCCTCATTTCTTCGCCTAATTATTTGGCACGTTTTACATTGTAACCTTTCTGGATGATTATAATTGATGTGCAGTTGGAGCTTCGGAGCTTCCAACTTCATCCAGACGGGTTGCTAGGATATGCTTATAGTTGGGATAAAATTTCAAAGTGATTATATGAGATGATTTATGGTCTTAGTTGAGTCTCATGCTTACAGGTTATTGATTAATTAAGGTTGATGCAGGACTTTCCCTTCTTGAATATCCCGAGGTGAAGGCCCTAGATCCAGCTTATGCTTTGCCAGTTGATGTTGTGAATAGGGTTATCTTGGGCAAATAAAGGTTCGTTTACAAATTCCGATTTGCATCTCTTGCTGCAATTCAATGCCTTTGTGCTTTCTCGTATAATGTCACAAATTCTCAACTGCCTATTGAGATGCAGTAAGTAACTAATTGAATATGTCTGCAATACCTGCATGCAGCACCAACATTGCTAATTGCTAATCTCTATTGTGTTTATTTTGATGGGTCAATTCAGCTACTCCCAAGCTTGCAATAATAATTTGATTACCACACGGTTTCATAATTTGGTCTGTGATCTTTTCCTTTAATCTTATTTCCTTTTGTTAGTACGCGGTTCCCTTGTTGACTTTCTTGTCAGAGATCTTGGCCAATCCGTTTTTAAGAAGTCTTTTTCTTTAATTATTTTTATTTCTTCACAAACTATTCAATCATCGGTTGTTTATATGCAATTTGAGTTTTTTCCCCCAAGTCCCAATCTACATATATGCATAAAAATAAAAAGGTATACATATCAACTGTGATGGAGACATCACATATAACATAGAAGGAAGAATATTTCGAAGTCACCCTTAGAGATATACTATATGTTTTGTTGTAGAACTAAGTATTGACATGTGAACTGCAAGGCATTTGTAAAATATTGTTTTGGGTTTTCATCAAATTAAAGTTTTGCAATGTAGCTAGCTGGTAGTTCATGAGTCATGACTGATCAGTAAGAGTATATATTAAAGAAGTGGGGGATTGACAAGAGCGAAGAAATTAACGAACAATAAGAGATATGCGAGTCTTTTCTTTCTTTCGTTTCATTTTGCTTATTGCTTTGCTAACCACTAATTTGGCTATGCAACTGAGTGTGCAGGCTAATGCAGGTTGGTATTTTCGTTTCGTATATTCTTATTCATACGCGTGTTTGGAGAACCCTTATATATAGAAAATTTTGCAGACATGAGGCTGCAGAAAGCAGAAGGAAATCACATATTGCCAAGCCCACATCCTCCTCCCCATTCCTAATAAGGTCAAGAGTTCTCTAACACCAGGTGTTTCTGGTGGGGCTGATACCCCAATTGCTCCTTCACCGGCTCCGACCGCAAGATGATATCAGGCCATCAGATTAATATATATCAATTTATTAGCTATTTACATGTAAATATATATTGTCACTAATACTATGTTTGGATGAAGAAATTTATTGTTACTATAGAATTTTAAAATGATGGAAATTGAAATGACGGAACTTTATTTTCTAGAATTTATGAATTTTCTTGTTTGGTTAACCTAAAACAACAATGAAATTGAATGCAAAAATTGTTATTTATAAACTCTCAAACATAGAAATTGAGAAATGGTACCTATTTACATTAAATTTAAACTTGAGAATTGAGGTCCCAAATTCCAAGTTTTTTTTCCACCCGAAAATTCTAAATTTCTTTGTTTATGAATTCAAATAAGAGAATTAGTGCATGTCAGTTTATAAATTTTGATTTTTATTCAAATTTCAAGTTTATTTTCTTCATCCAAACATAGTGTAATAGTCGTTTTGAATCAAATTATTTCTGTACTAGTTAGTGGTCCCTTTGATCAACGGTTCTGATACATTGGCACCATGCTTGCGCATTAGTATGTTAAAGAGGATATTCAACACAAATATACGAGAGGGAATGTTCATGTATAATCTTTATAAAGGTGGTGACGAACAAAGCGTGAAGAAACCCAAACAAAAGAAAGCCCTAGCTGCCGGCCCTAGCTTTGGCTTTGGTGCCGGTGACAACCCCTTTTTTCACCTTCTTCCCTCCCCTTCTTCTATTTCTCTCTTATCTCAATTTGTTCTGGAGTTTTGTCTCAGTTTTCATTGAGCTGTGTCTCAAATTTCTTCTGGACTTGTCTCAAATTTGAGCTTCATGCCTCTTCTCTCACTCCCTCTCCTCCGATTGTACCTTTCCAAACTCAAACCTCCAACTCTCCCACCCTTTCCTTCTACCTCCCTGCCTCATAATCCATCCTCACATCACCTTTGCTCTGGCCGGCGGGCGTTGAACCAAAAATGGATGCCAAATTCATTTCCCTCCTTCACTTCCTCTCCCCCGACCGCCATGTCAAAATTCCCTCGAGGCCAAGTGTTCTCTGGCTTCAGCCAAAGTAAGGGTATTTTACTTACTCACTTACCCTCACATTCTAATTCTATCCATGTGAAGGATTTGGGTGCAGTGACTATCTCTTGGTTTAGTGTTTTCAATGATGAAATCTGGTTGTGGTGTGCTTTTGGTTGCAGGTTCATAATTTTTGTGTTGCAATGTCTTAGTTGAATTGACCACTCAGTTATTTTCTCTTGTGTTGCTACCTTGGTGGCTGCTGGTAAGCCGTTCGAGGCAGCAGGTGCTGCATTCTGCCCTTGGAAGATAGAGATTAGGGTTTTTGTTTGTTTGCTTATTGGGCTAGGCTTTTGTGTATATGCATTCCCCAATGTAGTTTAGGTTGACATGTAACCTTTTTTTTTTTTTTTTTTTTGTTCAATGAATGTTACTTTTCATTAAAAAAAAAAAAACAGAAGAATACGAACTAATGCAATATATATCTCAAATGGGAAATTTTATTTAAACTCATCTAACCTATTTTGACACTCAACTTACTTTTTGCACCCATTTGATTTTTAACTAAACTATTGATATCTCTTTAAACCCAAATTTAATACCTAATATACCCCCATAAACCCAGTCAAGTAATAGGCAGATGAGGCCATTGGAAGAACCCACAAGGGATGAACTCTAGAGACTAGTATCAAATGCAAATTCATCTTCAAGGTCTCTATGGCTGCTTTCTATTGCTGATGATGCGACTGCAGAGGCGGAGGCGCCGCCAACATTCTTCTTCAGTGATTCGTAGTCAATGAGTCGGGGAAATCGAAAGGGGATTGGTGGCTAGTCATGGGGAAATGGATAGAGGCGTTTAAAGAGAATCAGGACATTCTTCTTGTTGTCGTTGTTATGTGCTTAGTGTTTAGCGATGAACTTGGAAGTAGAGATTAAGTTGCATCATGACTTGCATACACAATGGAATAAGAGGAGAGATATGACCGGTAGCCATGAAAGTATCTCGACAAATATATCGTCGTTGTTGGAGGAGAAGATCGGCAATTCTCCATCATCACCCGCCATAATATAGTAGAAAACGAATGGCTGAATATACTTCAAATCGTATGTATTGATCGTTAGGGTTACGATTTATATACACACACATATATGCCATATCTCACAAGGAAAGGAAGAATACAAATCCTACTCCGGCCAAATATAGGAGTCCTAATATATATACAAATTAATGATTTATATTAGACCAAATATAAAATGGAATATTTTTTTTCACCTCTTGAGAGCCTCCTGATATTTGACTGAGAAGAGCGATGTTTATAGTTTTGGAGTGGTTATTTTTGTGTATGAGGATATAACTAAGCAAGATAATGCAAAGGAATCATGGTTTTCGCTTCAGAACCGCAAGAAAGGAGCATAAGTTTGACTTTTCTCAGTTGTTTGCCAATTCAACCAGTTACTGGGTCCTTCACACCGGACATTTTTCATCGTTGGATGCTTTCATTGTTGTTTTAGCTGGAAGGTAGGATGCTTTCGTTGTATTTGTTGAAAAAATTTACAGTAAAGTAACTTCTACAATCTAAAAAATTGAAATCAAATGAACAAAAAATTCATAAATTGAGTCATACCTTGGTTGGAGGATTCAAAACTTAAAAATCACCATCATCAATAAAAAAAACTTATTTTTCTCTATAAGAGCTATTAGGGTTTTAGCCAGATTGAACGTAGACTAAATAAAGAGTGATCGTATGGTTTAATTATAGTGTTTGGGTTTATTGATAAATTTGAGTTTTATTATTAATTTCATTTTGTACTTAATAGTAATTATGCAATATGGTAAAATAGACAATTAACATTTAAAATTTAAGTTGAGTGTAAAAAGAAGTTAAATGGGTTTAAGTAAAATTTCTCATCTCAAATATTTGCTGACATCTTGACGTTCTCCTTCAATTTTCTCAGAAATTCATACAAATTAGTATTTAATAGTTAAAACTCTTTCTGATACTAAACGAGCAAGAATCTCTCTCTTTATATTAAAAGAAAAATATCAAAAAGAAAATGAACAACAAATATGCAGAGATATTGCATCAGATATTAACCCTAGACAAACAAATTAAAACGTATCAAACTATCGATGGCCCAAAACAATTATGATGTGAAGCTAAGATCTTTCATTTATAAATGAGGAGAAATATCAGTAGATTGTAGTATTAGTGGCTTTTGAAATGGTTATATATGAGTTAATATAATTTGCAGATATGAATTAATTTAAGGCAGCATCTTCTCTCAAACCGAAGAAACATCCTATGGAGATAATGAATTAATTTGTCGTGAATTATGAATTATTGTAATATATTTTTATGCATAATATGGAGATATAAGTTTATTTGTAAGATTTACGTACGACAAGTAGAGTTATTTCAGAGAAATTGGTAAATCAGAAGGCAAAAAGGTCATCTTATTCGAGTTTTTGATTTATAGAAGGTCAATGATGGGTAAGATCGAATACAAACAGAGACAGACGCTGTCTCTTCGGTTCGGTTTTATTTGATTTGGTTTGGTAAGTTAAAAATAATTAATGTAATTAGAAATCACTGATATGCATAAATGAAATGAGATCTTCTGAAGCTCTTATATGCGTTACTACTCTTCTAAAGAGGAAAATATCTTAAGATTATTTTTTCTTTTGCTTTAAATTCTACTTTCTGCAATTTTCTGCTTTAAAATTCCAGATTTTTTTCTTTTGTTTTTGTGAAATGTGTATTTTATAACTTCAGAAGGCAAGATTTCACCTTCACCGGTATTATTGTTAACTGTTAATCTTAAAAAACCGACATATTTAAACAAAGAAGGAAAATAGTTTGTACCGACGTAATCTAAAAATATATGATTGTTCCATCTTAATAAATGACCAGTAAAAATTCCATCACCCAACTCTATAAATACCACACTCTCGTCTTGTCTCAAAACCATTATATACCCTAGCACGAGCCTGCCTCTTTTTCTCCTTAGAAAACCCTACTCTCTCTCTCTCTCTCTCTCTCTCTCTCTCTCTCTCTCTCTCTAAGCACTCCTATCGTGAAGGTGTTGGAATCAAAAGTTGTCTGCAATGGAGTCTCGTACTTACATGGTATGATCTATAACATAATTTCAATACGGAAATGATTCCGCACATACTTTTTCTTCTTTGATTTTATTCAACTCAAATCCCAGAGAGAAACAAGCGTGAAGAAATCAGTTTCCGTTCAATATCCTATTTCAACCTCTTTTGTCCTGAAAATAATTCATTTTGGGCTGTCTCTTAATTCACAGACTTGTGGATTGAAAGTGGATACCAAAACTGGTGGATGGCACAAGTGCTTGACGAAAATGCTGAAAAAGATCCAAGGTATATTAACTCTCTTTATTAAGTTTCGCTTTAATTAATTTAGCAAACAATTGTTTTTCTTTATCGGCACAAACAGTGGTACGCACTGATCTCATCAATCGGCCAGAAATTGAAATGTTAGTTTGTGTTTGGATGGTTTATTAGGAGCATCATACAATGTAGATGCAGAAGCAGGTATGGCATATATTTCTGGGAAAGTAGACCCCAGAAAGTTACTGAGAAGGCTAGTGAAGGCCGGGAAAGAAGCCGAAATCTGCTGGGTCAGGACGGGAGATCAATGTACCTACTATGACGGATATGGCGGCGAGGGTAATATTCAAAATGGCAATGGTTATTATGATCATTCATATAATTATATGGATGGTTATAATGGTCATTATGGACAGAGTTCATCATACTACCCACACGGCCATTATGGACACAGTTCATCGTACTATCCCCAGGCGACGCCGTATTACTATTGATCATCCAGATGATCAATAACTAATTAATTTTGTTCACTCCTTGTATTAATTTGGAGAAACAATTTTGTGTCAGGGTTGATCATTAGATGTCGACTGACCTAGCTACGTACTCAATTATTTCTTTGTACTAGCTAATACGTATATGGTATCCATTATTTTTGTTTGGATACCATGTGTGGAACAACTGAATAAGTACTCTTGGGATCTATTATAAATTGTTATTTTTTTTAATAAATTTTAGTTTCTTTTTTTCTGGTTTTGTTTCGATTAATTGCCTAATGTGCATACGTATGTGGAACTCATATACGAGCAA